GGAAGACAAATGTTGTAACATCCACAGAACCATTATTAGTAACATTGAAGAAGGTTTCCCCCCAAAGTAATCCAGGTAACAAATAATCACAGCACAATGAAAAGACAGAAAATAAATGTTACCTTCTGTGGGTGACAAAAACATTATTTACATGCCCCAGCCCATTGCAGCCTGGCAAGGGACAGTGTGGTAGCTCTTGTTTGTTTAATTTCCAGGAGAGGGGGGCCCCATTGAGCGGATTCTCCTTCTGTCTCTTGGCAGCCACAGGACAACCAGAAGCTGTGCGATGGGATGTGTATTTGCCTGATATGTGACCTTGGCCATCACACCCTATCACAGGACATCTAGAGAGACACAGCAGAGACATTACCAGCTGGGAGAGACAGGGTAGGTCACATGAAATGCAGTTAAGACAGCAGTGGTGATTCCATGCTATACATAAGGCAAGTGGTATGCAATATGGACTCTTAAAAGATAGGCCTACAACTATCAAAATAGCATTTTACTAGAAAAATAATTGTCCCCAGGCTCTGAGTTATGTAATTGTCATGCGTGATCTTATGGACTCTTCACTGCAAACTATGGGGCACAGTGTTATTCCATTTTATAAGTGGGGAAATGAGATTTGCAGCTTTAGGTTAGCTGCCATCCTTTTTACACAAGAGGTGTCAAGTTCACACCCATATTGTTTAGCTCTAGAACCAACTACAGAAGCACTGGTTTTTGTTGCCTACAACCACCACTAACCCACTTACTTGAGCTCAGGGTCTTCTTTTTCTTCCTTCGTAGGAGTCATTTTGACCCCACCTTTCCTGGCCCGAGGGCAGCCAGACAAGCTAAAATATGAACCCAGGAAAAAACAAAACAAAACAAGGTGATCTCATGGGTCGCAGCATCTGACACTCTGATTTCTGTCTCAGAAATGAGCTCACTCCTACCTTCTGTGGGAAGCATAGTTTCCAGTCACATGGCCTGAACCATCACAACCGGGAGTTGGACACCTGGAAAACACAGGAACAGAGCTCGGGCCTTGACTTACTGGAGGGAAGGGGACGAGGGCACAGTCAAACAGAACTAATTAGAATGAGCTGCCTTTGGTGGGACTCTTTTTGCTTAGAGTTAACTTTTGGCTATGAATTTATTTGAAAAATGTTAAGCTATGTAACTACTGCACGACACATCATGGACAATGTATTCATTACAATACAATCATTTCCACCCATCCTTTTTAAAAAACTTATTTTGGAAGGAACCTGAAATTCAGCACACAGCTTACTCCAGGGCTCTGTCTACATTATTTAAATTGTTATCTCATGCTTAAGGAAAAAAAAAATCCAAATTGGTTTTTGTGCTAAATTTATTTTCCTTTAAATGTTCTACTACCATGATAACTCATTAAATTCAGATGAACAACAGCAGAGTACCTGAATTCCAGAACTATATTTATGTGCTTAGTTGACATTCCAACGCAGATGTCATATGATTCAAACTGCCCCAAAAGTAAAATATCATGCAGCTTTCTTAAAATTAGATGATAATGCTTTGCCCCACCTCCTAGGCAGGATATGGCATATAAATATTGAAATTAACAGAAAAAAGTATTATATAAACTATAACATCATCACTTTAAAAATTATTGTAAAATACAACATCTCCAAAGCAAGCAAATCAACAAAATCAAATTACAATGATTTGATTTTAGTCATTTGAACTTTCCAGTGAGAGAGCATGTTGGTAATAATTAGTTTGTTGGTTATAACTGACTTAGACATGGTTTACTACTTGTTAATGGCCACACTGGTCCTGAGGAATTGTCCTGCTTCACGGTGTGAAGGGCGAGGAGGTCGGGCTTCCACCACTTACTTAAGCTCCTGAGAGTTAGCAGCCATGAGGGACTTAAGTGTCTTATCTGCTAAAGGACATCCAGAAACACTAGAGAGGGATGAGAAAACAAAGACGCACCACATTGACATACAAATCCAACTCATATGGCATCCTGAGTTTTGAACATATGTTAGATTTACTATGACTGGGAACTGGGGGGAAAAATAGCTAGGTTTGAATCTGGCTTTGCTTCACATATATATTAACCAGTTTGGGCTCATGGGTACATCAATTATTTCTCCTTGATTCTTCACTATTCATCATATGAAGGACTTTAATCTAATGAAATGACCCAATTCTAGAATTAGGTACACAATGATGACTGATCCATTCCCATTCCTTAAGGGATGGTGGCTTAAAGGTTTTAACCAGTACCCAAAGAAAAAGTAATCACATCAGTGAAGATGGCAAGTGGAAAGATTCAACAGACCCTTTGCCTTGTTAATTCTCTTTTACATCAGGGCTTACACTGAACACATACTGCATTCCACAAGATAACTCATAACACAAGTTTCTCAATAGTCTTACATTTGTTCCACTTGAGTCCTGAAAGTAGGCAGAACTGAAGCCCTGAGATCACCCTGAGATCAACTTTAACCTTTGTAAAATGGACTAGAAGATCAGATAGCTGTTGTTGATCAAGAATCACGGGGTCTAAAGCTATATCTTTAAATTTTCATTTCTGAAAAAGCAAAACAAACCAAACCCTACATAATATAATTTTCAAACCTTGATCCACATAATACCTTTCTAGCATGGATAATAATCAATGTTTAATTAAGAGAAAGAGGAGGAAAACCTGACTGTGCATGAGGGTATCAGTTACCTTCGGTGAGAAGCATAGTTTCCTGTGACGTGGCCACTTCCATCACATCCTGGTGTTGGACAGCTGGGTCAATAAAGACAATTAGAGTCAGGTGCATTTTATTCATTTGTTTGCTCTGTCTGATTGATTATGAGATAATCTCTTTTCAACATAAGTTAACATAGAACAGGACATGCGGAGGCTAGTGAAGTAAGAATTTATGTTATGAAGAAACCATAAACTAGATAGAGAGGCAATTTTCTATCTTACATTGATTTCTATGATTCAAATGAAGTTGGAGAAAAGGTTAAAATCCATGTGCCAGTGAGATTGTGAATCAACAATTGGTATTTTATTTCCTTAAAAATAGTGTTATAAAAATAGGCCCTCCCCAGTGGCACAGTGGGTTAAAGCACAGCACTGCAAAGCTAAAACCACTGCAGCATGAGTTAAGTTATCAGCCAGGGAGCTGACCCACATGGTGTGGCAGACCTCTCCTGACCCACCCAGTGTACCCCTCAACAGTGTACTTTGTCAATCTGCCTATTCTGCTCCCCACTGTGTCTCTGGTGAATCCTCTCACTCCCTCACATCTCTGGCCTATACCCCAGTTCTGCAAGCATAAATAAATAAATCTTTAAAAAAAATAGTGTTATAAAAATAAACATTGTAAATTTGTGTTTTTAATATAGTGACTTTAAGATTACTGGCACTAATTGTATAACAGGACACAGAAAGGAATTCTTTCTTCAGAAGGAAATTTTTATGGATTTCAAAGAAAGACAACACAGTATCTTCACAAACATTTTATAAACTTTGTTAAAAGACTAAAATTTTGAAAATACAGCATCCTGAAATATAAACTGACATATTAGATAGAAATGTTATTGACAAATTTAGTTAGTAAGTCTTGTGATCAATTTCATCCTAAACCAATAAGATTATTAAATACAACCAAGATAGTTATTAATTAACATTTAACCCAAGCAGTGGGCTCTTTAAGCCATTTGCCCAAGACCAGAGTCTGACCATTCATTTCACTTTATCTTGGAAGTTTGTCAGGTCACACCTTATGCATCTTTGTGCATCTTAGATGTGTCTTGAACACTAATGTAAGAGGACAGCTATCCTGAGCAGTTTTGCTTCCAAAGTTCATAGATTTCTTGGTTTCTCATTTATTTCCCTCTGATACTGTCCGAAAGTCTCTCAGTTGATGTATGTAGATTGACACCAGTCTATTTAATGCTATTCATTCTGATGCTAGTAATCAGAGGAGAAACCAATTATATCATCATCCCTTCTTCTGGTTTTCTCTGATATCCTCCCTAAAGTGAAAGATTATTTATATAGAGAGAAAACAGAATTTACCCTTTGAAGGGTGACTTAGGGATAGATTGACAACATGCAAGAATTTCTGAAAGGACTCCTTTTAAAGAGTTTTTCTCCCTGTGAGTTACTTTTTTTTTTATTTGTGCATACAGAACTGGGGTATAGGCCAGAGACTCAGGGGTGGTGAAAGACTTCACCAGAGACAGAGTGGGGAGCAGAACAGGCAGATCAACAAAGTACACTGCTGAGGGGAGCAGCGGGTGGGTCAGGAGAGGTCTGCCACACCATGTGGTCACCTCCGGGGCAGACGGGAATCGAACTCATGCCAAAGTGGTTTCAGCTTCTTAGTGCAGTGCTTTAACCAGCTGCGCCACCAGGGAGGGCCCCTGTGAGTTACTTTACAACCACTTTGAAGAGGTCTGAGGAAGCTAAGAGTTACACCATGTCTCAGAGAGATGTTTGACTTTCAGGGTTTGAGCCAATCTGACTCATCTGCTCTTGATGGGCTATCAGATGGGCCTAGTGATATAGAATACTTATATATGTTAAGGTTATGTTAAAACAAGAGCGAGCATTAAGATTTAAGTTCTCTGGAAAGTGCTATTCACCCACTAAATGGAGATGAACCTTTTTTTTTTTTTTCCTGAACATAATACGACTGGAATATTCAGAGCCTGAGAGGCATTTATTACCTGGGAATCTGCATTGGGAATTTGTCCCCAAATAGTGTGCCAAAACAATATTGCAATGATTTTATTTTGTATTTTTACTTTTAATTAATCTTATTTTACAAAACAATCAACTATAAATTACTTAGGGTAATAATGTGTGTATAATTAGTTATCTATTTAATTTTTTGAAGCTTAGTGGTATAAAAAAGTTAGGGAGTAAAGAAATGATTGTAGGCAGTTGTAGTAGGAACAGCTTCTGTTTAAGATTCTGATAGCTGTCTTATATTAAAAATCTTCAATGAAAAAAATTATAAAATTGCATGGGATAATACCAGTTGATGGTTTATTTTGGAGGGTTTGAAAATAATAGCACACAAATTAAAGAATATGGGAAACTGCTACTTCACTTAATAAATGACACTCAAGCACTAAGCAAGTGTATGCTTATTGACTACATTAAAATAAATAAATAAAACATCCTAGTCAATTTAAAGTAGTGAAACAAAAAATTTACTACATCTATGTACTAATTGAATATGGATTCATATAATAAGAACTACCTACTGAAACACTCACTTGTATATAATAGAGGTGACAACTAGAAGGTCTCTAAAGAGTTAATTTCCTAGGAATTCATGATCATGCTCCAAAAATTCATGATCATGTTCCAAAATGTTGGGAACATTCCCTTTTTTGTGTTCACCTTTGATCCAATCAGAAGTGCCCATTGCAAAATAATAACATTTCATTTTTTTCTCTCCAGACAGTAATGCAGTCTAATTATCAATCTTTTACACTACATTTAGTTTGGAACTGCTCTGGCAATTTCCACCCCCCCCCAAAAAAAATCAATCTTTGAGAGAGAAAAACTTGCTATTTTTGAAGATATTCAAAGACATATGCAGAAACAGAACACAAAACAAGATTACAAGACTTGGATTATAGCTACAAGAGTGAATAAGTGTATGGGTGATCCAAGTGATTTCTGGGGAAGAAACTGTTAGTGAAATTGAAGTTTTAATATTTTTGGTGCCATCATCATGTTGCTTCAACTACCATGCTTCAAGGGAATATTAATCTTGTAAGGGAGTATGATATTTAAGCTAGTGATGTTTGCTGATGAATTCTTTAAAGAATGCAAAGTCTAAACTCATTTAAACAACACTGACATGTAAATATAATAATGTGATACTGGACTAGGAATAATCTTACTGAACATCTATTTTATGCAAGGCCCTGTTCTTGATAACAGCATATGAAATACTTTCCCTGCTCCCAAGTCATTCCTCATGTAGGTGGGGAAATAAGAGCATAGTAAACATTCTGTACTATCAGGGTAGACATGAAATAGCACAAAATGCATGAAAGAAGACTCCTACCCACCTGAGGAGGGTTTTTTGACTAAGCCTCTGGTCTAGTGGGAGAGACTCACAACAAAAAATACAGGAGAGGCAAAATGTATAATCATGTTAGATGGGTAGAAAGGCTGAAGGAAAACATCTAAAAAGGGGAACAGGCTGCTCCAGGATAATGGGGCCACTAAAATAGGAAGAACTCAGGTAACGGCATTTGAGAGAAGTGAGGGTCAGGAGAGAGGATGTTGACTTTCAGGTATCTGTGGGAAAAGCATACAGAGCAGATAGAATAGTTACTGTCAGGCCTGGAGACTTTTAGTGGAAAAGCATGAGAAAAGTAGTGGCTGATGGAGAGGTAGGAGCAGAGTTCGAGGAGAAATGAAAAACTCACTGCCCATGTGGGTTGCTGGAATTGCATACAGAGTTGATGTCAGTGTTAATGTAGAGATGGTTCTTACACTGTGAATCAGGAGCAGAGAGTGCTGAGGGTGGAGAGAAAAGGTCCCAGGCCAGAATTGAGTTATTCCTACTTTTAGAAAGTTGCACATGAGTATCAAAAGGAGTAACAGGTGAGGTGGAGAAAAACCCAAGGTGTGGTGTCCTAAAAAGTGTAGGTTTAGGAGGAAGGGGTGATCACCTCTTAAATTCTGCAGTCTGTCAAGTACTATCCAGAGGACCAAGAGTTATGTTAAGATGCGGGATCCCTGGAGAACTTAAGAAAGATTTTGGTAGAACCATGAGAGTAAAAGTCAGTCTGGGAGATTCAAGAGAGAAATTGAGTAATAGAAGAAAAATAACTTTCTTGAGGCATTTAACTGTAAAAGTATAGAAGACAGGTGTGAGGTAGATATATAGATGCTGTTGCTGATGGCGGTGTCACTGATAGAATTCGCTTTCATTCATCCCCTTACTCATGTTTAACACAGCCCAGCCAGCGCCATACTTCCTGTTGAGGATATATGTGCCAAAAAGTCATTGTTTCTGCCTGTCTTTCCCTAAAAGGCCATTGTCTCCTCTTCACTCACTTAATGTGGACTCTGTCATCTCCTTCCCTCCATGGGAAACTGGAAGCTGGAGTGGGAAGGAACTCAGGACTTCAATCTCATTTGTCCTCATAGTGACCCAGATAAACTCATCAGGAGGAAGTTGAGTGAATCACAGTTTTTACATCCCACAGTCTTTGGGTTAAAATAATAATTAAAAAAAAGGAAGTGTGAGCTGAGGCTAACTGCACAATATCAGTTAGTGACACTATAATAATTCAGTGACAATGACCCCTTAGTACCTGCCCACCCTCTCCTCAGTGCATTTCTCCACTTCATGCTGGCTACTCTCTATATACTGTAAGGCTTACTTTCCAAAGATTTGCCCCATTTCTGACTCAACCTTTCTGAACTTTTGGTGGGTGGCCTTTAATGATATCAAATGCCCTCATAGTGACCCAGATAAACTCATCAGAAGGGAGTTGAGTGAATCACAGTTTTTACATCTCCTCAGCTTTTATCTCCCATGATATTTATTTGTCTTTGTTCTCTGCTATCTCAAAACAGCCTCAGGTTCTAAACAGTATTATTTATAGGTTTCTTTCTTTCCTTCTCAGGTCTCAGCAAGATGTATGTCCTCACATTCCAAGCTGAGCAGTCTATTCGTCATCCTTTGGACTTCTGCCCTCTACATATAATCTCCTTAGGCCAAACTATCATGATCTCCTTTCTGAATCTGCAAAGACATTTTAGATGATCTTCCTGATTCCAGACAGTCCTTAAATGTATCCAGTCTCAGAATAATTCTGTACGCTACTCTTTCTAGATACTTAACCATTAGTTTGCTTTGCTGTTCAAACACCTTGTGACTTGTTCATGTAGAACCTACAGTCAGGCACTTTCTGTGGGCCCCTCGTCCTGCTCCAACCTGTCAATACTCTTTCTAGGCATGTCTGCCCTTAGGACTTAGTTAAGGCTCTTTGGCTAAAAGCATTATCTCTGTTCCTGCATCTTGACCTCTGTCTCAGCAATCCATTGCAGTTTTAACCAGTCCTTACTACAGGCAGGTGCCCTTTAAATTCTTCTGCCCTTAAATTCTTCTGAGACACTTGAGAATGTGACTTAAAAACAAAAATCTTTCTTTCCCACGCCCTCCTCCCTTCTTCCCCACCCCCGTGGTGCAAGGGGTTAAGTCTCAACACAATGAAGCTATCCTCAGCCACTATAGCATGAGTTTGATCCCCACGTCAGGAGGTGACCCACATGGTGCAGCTCTCCTGTCTTGCCCACTGCTCCCCTCTGCAGTGTCTTTCAGTCAATCCACCCATTCTGTTCCCACTATCTCTGGTGAATCCTCTCACTGCCTGCACCTCTGGTATGTACCCTAGTTCTTGTATGCATAAATAAACAAATCTTAAAAAAAAAAAAACCTTTCCAAAATTACAATTTGCATTAAGTTATAAGGTTTGTAGACTCTCCAAAAGACCTGACTTGGATGTTCTGGGGTCAGTGGATTTCAGATTAAGAATTTCTCATCAATATCAACATTTATTATTGATCTTTGTAATTTAATCAATTAGACTTAGTTCTCTTAGCATAGACCATGTCATGATCTTCGTAATTATAGTCACAGGTTTTGTTATATAGAGAACACTTAACTATTGACTAGTTTAAATTGTCCTAAAACATTTCAAACTCAAATATATGTCATGCTATTATTACTCAAAATTATGAAATTGAGTCTCTCAATTCTAGAATCTTACTAAGCATGCATTACACATCACTTACGTGATTAGTTCCTTTTTGAGATCTCTTGCATGGAGCTTAGATTTAGGACTTGGTATGGAGGTCTCTCCAGGAAATTTTTTTTCCTCTAAATTTTCTAGAGAGTTCACTGTGTCTTTCTGGGAAAAAAATACAGAAGCATAGAAGATATTATAAAAAAAAAAACAAAAAGGTAACTGAATTGATGTCATAAATTTTGGCTTACATTAAGACTTAGCTGAAATTGCTCATAAGATTTGAAATAAAAATGATAATGATTATAAAGGTATATTTCGATTGTTATGCAACTATGAAATTTATGAATCTTTATCCTTAGTGAAGATCTTTAATTGATGAGGATACCTTTAGTTTTATCTTGGAAAATATAACTACAGAAGAATTTCTTGAGTCAAGAAAATACACTAATGTCTCAATATGTTTCAGATTTAACTACATAATGTACATTTCCTAGAGCATATATGAATATTACTTATGAAAATCACTGATATATAAATTATTTTAAAATATGTAATAACAGAGTCATTTAGATATTTAGTTTAATTTTTCTGGACGATTATTTTTATTCTCACATGACTTCATGTTTTTAAGTTGCTTCGTTTACTAACTTATAATATTTTTACTTATTGGATGGAAACTTATTGGATATCATTAATTTTCCTGGCCATTATTTAAACATAATACTGATATTGATTCCATGAGGAAAACAAACTAATCCTTTCATATAATTTATCATGTGATTTATTATCTTACAGAAAAAATATTTTTTTAGTCACATAATTAGTTTACTTTCACCATTAAGCTTTTATATTTAAAACATAATACCCTCTGGATTTAATATTAAAATTATATTTACTAATAGAAAACTCTAATTCTCAATTGTACCTTCTATTTAAGGTGCACAAATTAACATTTGGAATTTTCTGAGATAAATTCATTTAAATCCAGTAATCTATAAATGTGATAGCAAAATATAATTTTTACATTTCCCCGTCATTAGTTACTTGGAAAACAATACAGTTATTTTACATAAGACCAAGCAGTGGCAAATGAATGATGACTCATTTTTACTTGAAAAACATAGAAAAAATATACTATAACTTTTCTGACAACCCAATGTATTGGTAAATGATATCAAGTAAATTATCTTCAGAACAAACTAATAAAAGTTGATTGATATAATTTCTTTCTTAATATTATTTAGAGTACTGAGTATTCCCTCTTATTTTATTGATAACTATTTGAAAATACCATCAAATCCTCCATATCCACAGGATTCCAAATCTGTCAAATCAACCAAAGATTGAAAATGGTACTGTCTTTAGGACTGTGATGGCTACATCTGTACTGTATGGACAGACTTCACTGTTCCTAAAACTACAGCATAAAAAACATTTACCAAAAAAAAATCCATGTTGTATTAGGTTTTGAGAAGCTTTCAGACACGACTTAATGAATAGGAAAGGATTACATAGGTTATATGCAAGTACCCCACCATTTTGTATAAGGAACAATCCTCTCTAATTCTAGGGATAACTGTACTAGATAATTATACATCATTTAAAAATAAAGAGAAACATGTTCTTGATAACTGTTGCCTACAGAACAGAACAGCAATCATTGCTACACTGAAATCTACAGCAAAATAGGTAAATGATGGAAAGTATAGTGTAACTATCAGATTTAAGATCTTATAATTAAGAATTGCTTCACTTTAGGTATTTACCCTGTAAAACTTTCCAACTGGTAATATCTGGGTTCAGTCTGGGTCATATTTTCCACAATAATTATTTCTCAACTTTTTGAATGTAGATACAAATGTTTTAAAGCTGATTGTATTACTGTGAATAAGCCTTTTTCTGTATAGATACTGAATTTTAACAAAAATGCCATGCCATTAAGGAACCATTTCATTTTTATTTGTGATAAAATTAAGAGCAAAATATCTCTAAGAAGGCATGTACATTAATGGATGAACATATAAAGATTATCAGCTATTGCTTGACTGCTGACTATTTAATATGGAAGGTAAGGGAATGGAGATTTTGAAAGAAACGATCAATTATTTAAATTGTTACTTGATAAAATGCAAACAAAAATAAAGTTTACAGAATATATAATATTTGGCTTGCACAGTAACACGGGCTAATATATGAATAGGATCATTTTATTGGATATAACCTTTTGAAAATTTCTAACTTCTTTTAAAAATAATACTTTTGATATGCACTTCATTATGAAATACTTATCTTTTCACCTTTTTCTTCTTTGATTACCACATTATTCCTGGAAACCTCCAGTAAACACATGTACTAAAATACAGGCAGCCACCACTAAAAGTGTTGCCACTACTAAAGGAATTCTTAACTCTTAACAGGAGCACTTTATCTCAGGTAAATTACCAAACAAAATAGTACCCTATGTAAAATTAGTCACGAACACTTGTATGATTATTTTTTTTTCAAAATTTAAAGTATCATTTTGGAGATCATAATTTTTATCCTGTAGATATTTCAGAAAGAATGTGGCATGTATATGTGTGCTAGAGAGTAGATGTGTCTGCTGAAATTCCTTTAATGTACAGATGGAAGTTTATATTGATTTCAGTAAAGACTGGAACATAATGGTAACATGAATAGCAGATAATAGCATCTGGCACTTTTAACATTTTAAGCCCTGAAATCTTTGGAGAACTGACAGTTGAATGAAACTGACAGCCCTAGTTATTTCTCAGCACTTTCCTTTTGAGATATTTTGAGTTTTTTCCAGATTCAGGATTTTTTTTTTAGGGGGCATCTGGACAGGCTATTTCACTGAGAGAGAGAGACAATATTTTCTGAAAATTACCACCAAAATTAAGCAACTGTTGTGCATATGAACTAGATACAATGAATTAGAAATAATCACTCAATTTTCATTTGTGTTCGTACATGTATGTCCTGAGGGGTGTAGTTAAAGTGAGACAGGAAGGGTCCCAGGACAAAGAGAGGACAGGACTTAAGGACAAGGACAAAAATTTTACAAGAACTTTTCTATTTCCATGGATTGGTAAAGAAGAGGTTAAAAACCTGATGATTTGTTGCCATAAATTTCTTTGGCTCTTTTTTTTTTTTTTTTTTCCCTAAGCCATCTTTCCACAGTTTATCAAGTTGCCTGCTTTGGGAAGGAAAGGCAGTTACAGACCCAGAAGAAAAAAATTATAGACCTTTGACCAGACCAGTTCAAACTGGAGCTGGGGGACACACAGCCTCCATGATATCCTCACCTTAGAGATGGTCAGGATCCTGGTGACCACAAAGCTGCTACTGGTTGGTGCCCCAACTACCAACAGTCAATGGACCTTAACTAAGTACACACTCCTTGCTTTTTCAGTCCAAAGAGTTTAGCTACTTTGTTCTCAAACTGCTGTCTTAACATTTATATACACCCTGAGCTGCTGCACCTTGGGGAATCTTCCTTATGATCAGAGAGGTCTCCAGAGCACTCTCTTGCTAATCAATAGACACTGACATTTTGCCTCTCTCAGGAGTGGAGTCTACTCTCAGTCTTGACCAGAGGGTCTCAAGAGACCTTTGCTTCGCTCAGGCATGAGGTCCCTTGGTCCATCCCTCTGTCTCCTGGAGGGTGAAGCCCTTGACAACAGCTGGCTCACCCCCAGCGTGTTGTGGAAGAACAGGGCTGGAGTGGAGCTGCTGCCTAGTCTGGGCCACAAGGAAGTAGAAGAGCTGGCTACAGGAAACAAGAGGTTTTGGGGAAGAAACTGACTTTCAAACAATCACAATTCATCACCTGGGCTGGGTGCAGCCAGTCAAGTACATTTGGAAATGAGAAGCATGAAGCAATCCCTGTAACAGATTTGTGTGGTCACAGCCTGTGGGTCTGAGTCAAAGGTCTGGTCCTGTCATTTGAGTGCCATAGAACAGCAATAACTCTACCACATCTTGCAAACCGTCACCACTGTTTTCTTTTCTTTCTAATTTTTCTCAATATTTTCTACTCATCACAACATTTTTTATTCTCTCAATTTTTTTTCTCTTTTCTCTTGATTTGGAGAGCCCAGGCTTATTACTTAATGACTTAAATCAGCAACTTCATCTCCTTGCGCCTCAATTTTCTCCTCTAGAAACTTTGATGATAATCCTACTTTTCAGGATTGCCAGGATCATGAAACACTATATAAAAAGTCCTTTATATTTTTATTGAATGTGGTGTTCTCTGTTATGTCCCCAATGAGGACACTGAATACAGTCTACTTTTTCCAAATGCCTATTAATGATCACGTCTCATTTTTAATATTCAGGATAAAATATGAAAAGACTCTCTACTCATAGACTACATTGGTGTGGATGAAGACACAAAGAATGTAGTGAGAAATTGTCTTAGAGAATTACATTGGTTCAGAGACTCTTCTGTGTATGTCCCCAATAGCACCAGCTTTCCCAAGCATTAAATCACCCATCATCAGATAACTGCGGCAATAAACATTAAGCTTAAATAATATTTTGTTAATTCAAACCAAGGTCAAGCACTTTGACTCTAAGAACACACTTAATAGCTCTTCAATAAATTCTTAGTGACATAGTATCTATATTCCAGATTTGAGAATACTTAGGCTGCAAATTGTAGCAGTAAATGTCTGTACTCTGGAACCTGAAGTAGGTAAGTTCTTCCCAAAAGAGCAGGACTCTAATTTAAATAACTCCATCTTCCCCATGAACTTGCTGAAAATCAAAACACTGTCACAGCCCAGTTGAATCCATACCACTGTCAAGGTGAATTCAGATTTTTCTGGAGTTATAAAATAAGAGGCTAGAATGTAAATAAACATATATTCTATGAGATTTCATTTAAAGACTCTCTAAATGATAACATTTACACTCAAGGAAACCCCTGAGGTACTTACTAGACCCCCAAATAGGAGAAGTGTCTCAGAATACAGTGAGATGTTGACATTGATGCTGAGGGCTCATTATAACAAATATCGAATAACACAAAAGACCAACTTGACGTAACTTTGCTTTGTTACAACTCGGGATCGGACACATATGTGTGACACTGTGTAGGAATAGAAAGAAGATTTCTGGAGCATGCTAACCGCAGTCTGTTTATAACACAATCATGAGATAGGGACACACTGTCTACATTTTATCCTGCACAGGTGGTTAACATGCTTCCAAACTGAGTGGGTTTTATCCTACCAGAATTCATTCAAGAATAGAAGCTGCTATGCACTCTAAACCATTGTCCCTCTTGTAACATAGAAGGTTTACTGAATCCCTATCATGGATCTGTGACTAAGATTAGGTTGTGCTTTAGTGATATGCCCTAATCCCACTGGAAATGGACTGGCTGCTTGTGAATTGAAGGATGTTCCACTTTTCCTAATGTTGAGTTGTATGGAGTGGGACTGGTCAATAATTTTGACCTTATGATTTTGTTTCCCACCCTCAACCACCTACCACAGCCTAGTTCATGCCTTACTTCCCTTTCAGACAAGTTGTACAGAATCACAGTTGAAGTGATTGTAGTAAAGTACAAATCAAAATCAATAGACAACTATAAACCAGAGACAATCCGTAAGGGGGTCATAGGAGAGTAGGGTCAAAATAAGGGTGGAAAGAGGACAAGGGACTATGGTGAAGGCACATAGGTGAACTGGAGGTGGGAATGCCACAGGAACTACAGCCAAGATGAAAAAGCACACATTGTACAAAAATGACAAATAATGTAAAAAATATATAAAATTAAAAACTAAATCATTTTTTTTTTAAAAAGTGAATATTGACAGCTTTCTGATTGTAAAAGTAGGTGGGAGTTAAGTGTAACTTCTTTTCACTTGCACAAGCCTGGCTTTTCAGGGGGCTAATGTATTGATGAAGGGAATCTTGCTTATTGGTTTGTAGTTGTCCCCTAAGGCAAATCAAGTCATAATTTGTTGTTTTCAGTTTTATACTTATTAAAGTCACAAAGATTATTTTAAGAAATGGGTCTTCTAAAAGAGTATCATGATAGCTTTATTTAGACTAGCCCTAAATACTTCAGGTGAATTTTTTGAAGTTAAGCAAATAAAATAGAAATCAGTATTTGTGAATCTGATCAGAAGCTGTTGATATAAGATCCCCCTCAACTTTCTCCATGATGGTGCATATGGTGGTGACATAGAGCTTGCTTTGGGTCTTTGTAGGTGCCCCAAGAGACCCATGACCACCTGCCTTTCCACACTGTGTGCCTGGTCATGCTACTTGACTTATGAGTGTACTTAGTTACGTGTCAGTCCTCCAGCACACTGAACAAATGTGCGGCAGGAGCGTGGTTTATTTGGTTCTGCGTCCTCTTTTACTTCCTGGACATGGAGCTGCCAGTGAAAGTGTGCTGATTGAAAGAGGGAGGGAGGGAGGCAGGGAAGGAGGGAGGAAAAGAGGAAGGGAAAGAGGGAGGGAGGTATGGAGGGAGGGAAGTAGAGAAGGGAGAAAGGAAGGAAAGGAGGAAAGAGGAAGGGTGGGATAATTATTATTATTCCAGTCTTGTTATTCCTGCTGTTTATGTTGACTAATAATTAAGATGTTAAAGCATGTGCTAAAATAAAATCAATTTTCCACCCGAAAACTCTCTGAACTTCAAAAAGTGGAAAAGGTACAGTAGGTTTTAAAAAAAGGATGGCTATTTCATATCTTTAACCTGGCACCTGGCAAATCTATCAATAGGTTTCCTGACTATTTTTACTGTAATAGGAATATATATATATATAAAACTACATACAGTCTCAACAGTGGAGGATTCTGGTAATGAATTATGAATTCTTTGGAAGTCATGGCCAATTTGACCAGGATAGTGTTTCAGCTATTGTGATGAAGACTAGATGAATTCTTGCATGGTCAACATATGACTTCCAGTGGTGAAGCCACCTCCAGGATAGCTAAATATGCAAATGCATTTTCTTGACTTTGGAATTGGTAGCACTTACACAGCCAAAATTCATGACACCATATCTCAGTGCATGACGATGTAAGCACTGCTCTTTCATGAAACCAAGGAAAGAAGTTTGGTATGAGTCTTCTTGTTCCTGATTTAATTTCTTCTACCTTCTGATTCAGAAAATAAATAGTGAGCTGGAATTCCTGTTGGTCCCCTTACAGTTGGCCCTACCCAAGGGGGTAGATGATATCATCTCTATAGTGGTGCACGCAATTTCAGCCATGAATTTGGATAACATGTACCCTAATATCATATTTTAGACCAGTGACACAAAAGTTGGATGTATTTAGAAATTTCTTCTGAAATTTCAGGTCATCACTTTACCAAAATCTAAAACCAGGTAAAGAATTATGTTATCTAAACAGGAATGAGAAAATATATTTAGGGTGAAAAGCTAACAACACTAATGACTCTCCAATCATGCTCTGTCTTAAACTTATTGATTGAAACAATACCTCTTTCTCCTCCTCTGTCTTCCCATGAGTTTTGCTATAGTTGATAGGCGTATCCCAGCCCTCTTGGTCACAGAGAGCCTGATAGAATGCGGCATTGACCAAAATGCTGCTTGTTTTGAATGGGGAAGAGGAAGGAGTTGGAATAGAAGTGTTAGAGGAAGTTAAGGGTGCAGCTTTGTCCAGGGTTCGTTTTTTTTTCATGCTTAAGTCCAATGTGCCATTTTCATCCACTTCTATCTCGGCTCCCTAGTACACAATAGGAAACAGAAAAACATTTAAGCAGTTTGCAGTTATAGCCTAGCCATGTGGAGCTTTTAAGGGATAATTTCAAATGCAAGCTTTTATGCTAGTATATCTGATTTCAAAGCTAGCTTTCTGGTTTGCTTTGATTAATGCTGAATTCTTAGGCAGACTTTTAAGAGCACTGCCATTAGTGAGCTCTATGTTCCTGGATTTAAATAAAGTAAGATTAAAATATGGAAGATGTTTCAAATACCAAACATATTGGCTAAATCTGTTATGTATGTATTAAACTTAGCATTTACCCTTCTTTTCTCATTTGTAGAATTATCACTTCCAATTTATCATTTAAAGCTTTAACACTTGAGTTTATAAAAAGGCACAACACTACTTCCTATCCCCTCCCCCACCACCCCATCACAATATTAATCTAACATGAGAAATATGCAAAAGTAACCAGCTGGAAGATAATTTTTGTTGGAATATTACATTAATATGAAAGTGACATTTTACCCTGTGGAGTGGAGCAGACAGTGCAAACCATAACTCAGTTGGGGGCCTTTAGATAGCAGTTGGCCACACGACTGTTGCGGGTTTAAGTTCTAACAGTAAAAAACCCTAGAATAAAGGCAACTATTTTCTAGATATGATATGAAGCTTAAAGCCAATTTCACCTCTCAACATTTCTCCTGGGCTATGTTAGGCTACTGTTTTGGTTTTGTTTAGATTAAAGTCCATATGCTCTGGGTTTTCTACATCATATATAGAACAGGATGATTTCGATGGTGTCAGGTGTGATGCATGTTGCCAGGTAGTAGCTCAGCATGTAGGGAGAAAAAAGCTTTTTTGGTTCCTAAGGGGGTCAAAGGAATACCTTCCTGGTACTTATTTCCTCATCCACCAATTCACAACTAACTTCTGGACAATTTCTCGGCTATTTTTCCTTTTGACTGACAAAACAGAAATCTTTGAATACCTTAAAAAAGATGACTAACAGACGTGGTCACTTCCCAGTATTTCCAGCCACTTCCCAGGGGATTATTTCTACTCACCATTATCTCTGCCCTTAATCCCCCTGCCCAGAGGCTGCCACTGATGCTCAGGCCCCTAGCTGGATGCCAAAGCTTCACTGCTTGAACTGATGTAGAAAATAAAACCACCTCTTCGATTTGCTTCTTTTACCTGTAAATTTCCTATATTCACCCTCTCAGACTATAAGATAAATATGCTTTATTATACTTCTGGGAGGTAAATACACTTCGAATATATTTGGACTAAGATGCTTTGGCCATATCTTTCTGTCCTTTTTAGTAAATAGTATAATCTCCTGTGATAGTTTTAAGCCCTGAATTTGACAGCACAGCTTATCCAGGATAATAACTTAGTAACCACAACATCCTATGCCATCTGTATAATAACAAATACGTTTTTATACCAGCATTAATAAACCTTAGTTACAAAAATCCAAGATATTAAGCATATCAGAGCCACGTGGCTCTCTCCATGATATACCAATATCTTCTGCCATGAGAACATCAAAACAATTTTTGGCTCATAGTTCTATATAACTGTATCAATAAAACAGCTACAGTAATTAAGTTTAACGGCCAATGTAAAGTAAAATACTAAATATTGTAGTTGCAGACATTTTTCATAAAAAAATTTAAAACTTGGGTTAAGACTGCACAACCAACATTCACATAAAATTCCAGACCTCTGTGACAGATGGCTTAGGAAAAAGAAGCCATGTGACTGGGCTGCAGAGTTTTATAGTGCAAACCCATAAATAGTACAGATTCGATCTCACTGAAAAAAAAAAATCAAATATTCCAAGACAACGCTAATATATGTTTTAGTTTTCTACAGAAAAAAACCTAAATAGTAAATTCAAGAAGTGAGAGATTTCCAGAGTTGGTGTGATTATACATCTTGAGTAAACATGTGCTGATTTAAAAAAAAAATCACCCCTAATATTTAAAAAAGATCCTTTTCTATATCTTGTGCCCCAGCTGGCTGCTCTGGGCACCTGACTTGACTGGGAGCGAGTATGTTTGGGTAACAAGGTACAGATGGGCTTTAAGTGAGCACGCAGATGCAATCGACAATTACACACAGTATCAGAGAAAGGTCCCTTTCTGCCCATAGATGGGTGGATCACACATTTACTGCATGGATTTTGATTCAGAGCAGTATCCACAGACATCACTTCTAGAAATCACTTGTGTTACAGCTCCAAATGGCAGGACAGAAAAGCAGGAGAATCCTCAGGAGGAAGGGGAGATAGTCCTAATGAGGATATCTTTAGGACGCAGTCCACCATCCCCGTGACCACCCCCCACCCATCTCCCAGACTTCTAACATGGTGATTTCTCAAAGTGTCATTGTGGATCCTCATTTTAATCCTTAAAATTTGTATTTTAATTTTTTTTTTGAGGCTAGACATAGCTCTAATACCATTCAACTATAGATAGGTCTAACATTATGCCATGTACTTTTCAAATTAGGAGTGACATCAAATTATTGATTTCAGTAATTTTTAACTACAGGTACTCCTTAAAATTTATTTAGTCAAAAATCTTTGAGAAAAAAAATTTTAAGTCTGCAAGATCTGCCTGCCTTCAAAGAGCTAATTTTACACATTTAGGAGTTATTCGGTGAAAGAAAATTTAGCAAATATGCTATAAACAGTTGTCATACAGAAGGTTGAGATAATTAATTATTCATTATAATACTCACATGTACTATTAAATTAGAAATGACTCATGTCTGCCCAAAGAGATCAATGAAATTGTAACTTAAATAGATGATATATCTTTTAATGCCATATTATACAAGCAGTAAAATGATAAATGTGAGAATTATGTCATAAGATGGAAAAGAATTGTATCACTGAAAGCAGTAGCATTCCTACTTTACCTACTACTAAGAAAATAGAAATTGGTTTTCTGAAGAAGAATAAGAAGGAAAAAATTGCTGCCTTTGGAGTAAAAGATATGGATAGTGTCTTCCAATGTTTTCCAGGCTACTAATAACATTATATTGTTTGGACAGAACATTATTATTCATTCATAGATGAAGTAAGAACAAAATCATAATTTCAACTTAAATGTTCTGATTTGTGAAAATTATTAATTTTTAAAACAATGATAGACTAAAACAACCCTCCACCCTTTTTTTGGACAAGTTTTCTAGAGCTAAAAGATAGGTCACTAACATCTTTCCTTTTTTTGATATGACCTAAAGGAAGTGCAAAAGTAGGTTTCTCTCAGCCTGGATTTCTGCTATAAGTAATGTGGTTCATGACTTCTTTTCTTCCATTTTAGCTTCAGAGTGTTTTGTTTGGGGAAGATCTTTCTGTAACTAAACTTTTTGAAGTATGTTTTCAAATCAGTTGAGATAAAATCAATAAACAAATGACTATTATGAAAATATCTTATTCTTTCTAACTAACACCTTCAGCTTAAAGAAATTCAGAGCATAAACTTATGAAATGCATTCAATATAAATAGAATGATTGGGTTCAGGGAAGGAATACATGACTGATATTAGCTTTAAAATTATAACCTTTTCCCAGAAATCTTTGCTAGTACTTGAAATCCTTGTTAATGACAGCCTCGTGGTGGACCAACAGACTATGCATCATGATAAGAGCTTGAAGAAGAAAAAAAGTCAGACAGGAGTCAACACAAATTCAACTCCAACTGTTGCAACTGCAGCTCACAGAGAATTCCTTCTATTTGCACTATTGTTTCTCTCTCTCCCTTTTTTTTCTTTTCAGTTGCAAATGGAATAACAATATATGCTTCAAGCTTCTAGTAATTAAAATGGATTAATATGGACAAAGTCTGTGGCCTGAAGTAGGTGTTCACTAACTGACAACAACAACAATAATAATAATTTGATTGGCTTTTTGGTAACAAGAGAGGTATGTCCCATACTACTATACACAGAGTTGAAGAATCAGTTAGTAAACATTTAATTTACTTACACATGTATCATTTGGCTCCTGCAATCTCTGACCCCCAAATCCCTCAGAACATATATGGTATAGTCTGTCCCAATGTTAAAATTGCTGAAAAAGATTACTTTTGTTGGAGTCTATCTTGATAGTCACTAAGCTATTTCTGATACCCGACAGAAAGAACAGTGATGTGATAGCATGTTGTTTCTAGGCCCTGTTCAAGCACAAAACAGACTTTGAACTTTAAACATTTCAAGCAAGTGTCAATTTTTTGTTTTCTTTTAAGGCACATTGTGCATATGCCACTTTGTCTAAGCAGGTGGGGAAAACACCAAAACAAGCAACAGAAAGCTTGGCAAGCAGCAGCGATCAGGATAAAGATAGACTGTGAAGTATGTTTCTACCTCTGTTGATGAGGATGAGAAGAAGGAGAAAAAATGGGAAGTTTCTTTGACACATGGCTGGCACACGTTCTCCAGGGCCAGAGAAAAGCTATTGAAAAAATCAAACCGGGTTCTCAGTGAGAACCTGCAGCCCAGTCTACCTGCTGCACTGTTCTCAGTGGGAACAGTTCAGGCTACAGCGGGGATGTTTAAGTTTTGGTCCATGTATGCTTTACAAATGCACATTTATGCAACTGTCAAGTAAAGTCCTTCAATAAAGGATAAAAGATCTTCAAACCAATGAAAGTACTAGAATTAAAAGAGATGTTGCACTTCAGACAGCATTACCTTTAACCATCATGATAGGCAGAAAGTATTGATATTGCTAATTTTCTTTCTCACTTATTTCTAAAACCTATACTTAAAACAGATCATTTTGCTGGTGTACATGTGCTATGTACCTGCCAGATTATATTTTAACAAATAAACCCCTTTAAATGATACTTTTAGGATAGAATGCACTGGAATTTGGGAAATTGTGGGCATTGATAGCCTGAGCTCAGTGTTCAGAATGAAAGCGTTTTAGTGTTGCGTAGACAACTGCTAATGCTCAGAAACTTCTATATATTTTGGCATATCCTTTATTCTTTTTAGAGTGTGTAGACACTCAAAAGTTTTCTTGATCCTCTGAAAACAGCCTATGCATGATCTTCATACAAGTAGAAATTTTGCAAATCAGATCTCCTGCTAGTTGTGAGTTTGCATATAGGATGAGAAAAAGTATATTAAACCCAACAAGTGGGTAGGAAGGAAATTTCAAGATTGGTTCCCTTTGACTTAATTTTAAAAAAAAGGTCATCCCATGTGACAGCCCATTATGGTTAATTTGCTATCTTCTTGGACTCTTTAAGCAAGTTCAGAGATGTTCATCATGTCAATGAAAGGAAGGAGGCAAAAGGAAAATAAAAAATCAGCCCTTCCCCAACTTCTGATCAAATTCCCTGTAAAGTTGTCCCTTTCTCTCCTAGACATTAGGAACATCACATCTGAAATGGAAAAAAACATTTCCTTTGCCCTGCTTGGCCTAGTGGCATCTTGAAGGCAGGGTCTGTGATGGTATCTACTCGGAGGCCTGGACAGTGCAGCTCTTAAAGATTTGCTTGCTCAGGTTAGAAATCCGCCATCCAGAGTCTATCTTTGTATATCAAAAATGCCTCTATGCTCAGTTTAAATGGCAAGAATAGGGAAAATGTCACATTCTTCTTTCTAGACAAGGAATTCAAGAGGTCCATGGATTGTAGTTGGCAAAAATAAACAGATAACAACTTGCCACAGAGATTTTGGAGGAAAAACCAAGTTAAAGTGCCGGGTCAGAATAGTAGTCACTGTGGAGGGGAAGAGTGTTTATACTTAATTCTCTGTTATGCAAAAGGCACAGAGTAAAGTGAAACAGAGTGGAATGGATACATGGGGCAGTATTTGGATAGCAGACCTATTTTTCAGGGCTGTTTACTTTGTTTTATTGCCTTGTTTTTGGCTACAATGATTATTTTTTTGTTGTTTGATAAGTTCTGAGACTCAGGACTTAGAAATCTGCAGTGTTACAGTTGTGTGCCAATGTCCGAGTGTGCTCACACATGTGCACCAAACCAAAGGAAGAACTCTGGCAAACTGACACTGGAAGGGGTCATATTTACCTGACTTAGCAATCACATGTCAAATGAGACAATTTTCACGGAAAAATGATTTTTAAAACTGCCAGCAAAATAAACAATTTGATTGGTGCACTTTCTGTCTCCTGCATGTTCCTCATCATATCAGTGGCTTGGCTTCTGCTGTTCAGACTTGACTGGCAGTTGGAGGCTAGGCTGTGCGTGGATCCTGTCACTCTGGGCATGTGGTCTGATCACAGGCTGCCCTGGCACAGAGCACGCTCACACCACGAACGTCAGAACACTCACAGGAAGTCCAGTGCTTGAAATTTTGCAATGTGCCAATTTAACTCACCTTTCTGACCAGAAATGTGTTTTAAAAAGAGAAGAACATATACTGCTAAAGTATTATCCTTAAATTTTAATAATCTTGGCTTTGTTGTTTTATTTTTTAGCAATGAATAGGTCACGAAGAGACTCTGAAGGCTAAAACACAGAATTCTGAGGAAGGTATCTCTACTCTAAACCATGTACTCAAGTAATTTAACTAACAATAATCCTTAAAATATTGGCACTTTTATTTTTATAGGACAACCTAAACAAACAAATAAGACCTGAAGTGGAAGATGCTATAGAATTTCTCCTAACCAGTTACTTGTTAGAATCTCTTTTAAAAGAAGTAAATTCAGTTTTTAAATATGAATTTAAGTACAACCGAAGTTGATTTTTAAAATACCTCAAATCATTCATTTATGCAAATAATTTCTGCTCTGAGTTCCTTTGGATTTGAACCGCTTGGCATTTTCTTTCTAATTTTTAAAAGATGTATTTTTCTTTGTTTAAGAAACTCATTTGTTTAAAAATTGTTTTTGAGTGGTTTTTGGCCACCAACTCTTCCTGGGGTTTATTTGGCTCAGATTTGTCCAGAAGCTAATTCTGATTCTTCTGTCAAATGCTCGATGGCACTATGCTCTCTGCTCTCCTGAAGCCTGGCACAGCACAGGTGAGCAGCTGACCACTCCGGGGATGGGCACAATTAATGGGAAAAAGAGAGCCATGTACTTCCATCGCCCCAGTTTCAGGGTTAGCGTTTGACCCAGGGAAATGTCGACTTAATGCAAAAGTAAAATCTTCTCCGGATAAGCCTGGGCACCTTACTGCACATGACTAAGCCATCTACGTAGGGAAATTATGTCTTTTAACCGAACCCTTTGTGTAGAAAGAGTAACTGAAGTTTACTCTGTAAACTTCAGTCTGTGTGTGATAAACCCTTCTTCTCAAAATGAAAGACAGGGACCTTCACTTTTGTTTTTTATAAGTCATGCTATCAGAAACACAGGTGACTAGTTCTCCTCACTAGTCGGAAGGAGAGCCGATTAGGAAAATATGGTCATTTTCATGGGCTTCAGAAATGTGGTGTTTTCATAAATCACTGAATTTGATTTTGGATTTACTAAGATGATTGGATGTCATACAATAGTAACTTGTGCAATAATAAAATGTCATGAAGCAAATTGCAAATGTTTCACAAGTCACTGTTCCATCAAACATTTCCTACCCTCCTTCGCTTCCAGACAGCAAAACTTTCCATTGTTCAGAATGATTTTCACAGCAATCCTCTTTCCTTGAGTGCTAAACACTCCCCCATAGGGAAATAGCTTTGAAATCTTCACGTCTCCCCAGCCAATCCCCTTTACTCAATTCTCCCAAACTTCACTGCATTGCCGTCAAGAACAGCCACTCTTTCATTCCTCCCTTATCTCACCAAGCTCATCTCTGTCAATGTTTCTTTGAGTCTCTTCCTAAGACAAGAGGGCTGTGCTTCAGGGCTGGGGAGCGGCGTGGTAGTGAATGTGGTTAGGAACATGAAAGGCAGTTTATTCTCACGGTTCAGTCGCTGGCCCACCCTCCAGGCTCTTGGACTGGCCTACCTTGGCATGCAGACTCTGTGGTTTGTTGGAGAGGATGTCTGCAGCTTCCCTGCAGCGGGTGGAAAGGTTCAGGATAGCAGCAGCTGCTGCTATGTGGGTGTCTTCACTACATTGACCGTAGCTATAAGAGCTGGCACGGCAAGGGCTCTGTGTGTGGGCGCCTGCACTAGGCAGTCGATTAGGAAATTTCCCTGGATTTGAAAAATGCTTTGCTGTTGAAGAGAGATTTGATTAGCAATTGCATGTACGTGGTTTCAGTCATTAAATAGATTTGTTTTAAAGATATAACTTCGTGCATTAAAATAACTGAAGAATAAATTAAAACATGATCCATTATCCATTGGTACAGTAGATGAAGGTTATTCAGATTGGTTTTCACAGAAGTTCACAGATCAAATGATGTGATTGTTGGGAAAGAATGCCTATTCTCTTAATATTTTGTACTTCTTATGACAAAACTCCATGACTATGTTATGGGGCAGGTGCACTGGCAGCCTTTGTGGTGAAAATTGTACATTAAAAGCCACGTTAATGAAATCCATCAAATACTACAGAGACTTAAGGCTTGCATATTGTGAGGACTGGCAATTCCATTAGAAAAATGAAATGTAAGCTTTCATGTTTATTTTTACAATAACAACTTAGACGTGGAATTGGACTTTTTTATTTGATATACTGGGTTGTTTTGTACTTAAGCCAGTAGAAGTTGTTCTTCATCTAACTAGATGGAACTAAATAGATGGCGGAGTCTTTAATGAGCTGGCATTTTGCATGTCGGGTGAAGCTTGGTAAGTAAAGGACAGAGGAAATGTTCTCAAGGTGAACAGAAAGGCAATTTAGTTACCAAGGCTGAGTTTCTGTTTTTGCTGTGGATACTGAGATATTACTGAGAGAGAGAATTAAACATTTTTCCTCATTTTGGATATTTGTTAAAATCATTTATTCCAAGATTTAATGCAGGATAACATAAAGCATTTAGATATTTAGTATGTTATAAATATTGTTTATTTAAAATATTTGATCTTTTTCATAAAAAACAATTGAAATATTACCAAATATTATTCCCATAATTATAAAAATAAGAAAACACCACTGAATCTTTTACATTTAAGTCAATATTCACATTATCTGAATACATAGAATGCTTTTATTAACTACTTCCACCTAAGTTAAAATATGTGGATGTATGTGTATGTTGTGTATATATAATAAAATTGTATAATTTTGTAGATAAATACAAAAATCGTGTGTGCATACATCTGTGTGTGTAAATTTTTTCCCTGAATTTAACAGATTGTCAGTGGTTTTTTATCCTGACTGGGACCTGGTTTGGGGAAGAAAGTGTAAAATATCTTTCGGAGTATAATGTACTTCTCACTGATGGGTAAATTCTTTTCAAGTCTGTTCATACATTGCTGGGTTTTATAAGGCAGTTTTGTTCTTTGAAATAGGTTGTCAATAGCATATAGTGAAGAAAACATCATCTGGCCTTGAGAATACTCAATTTAGGTAACTAGGTATGCAATCAAAGGAATTCCATTGGTTTGTAGAAAGTTGTAAAAAATTCAGTTTATGGAGGAATCAAAATAGAGCATTTTTTTGCTTTCCCTTTATGATTAAAAGACCAGAGTGCAGAAATCATTTCTTATTTTATTCTCAACATTCATTTTATTTTTTACCTTTTCATTAGAATAGTCAAGGACTTTAATCAACTTGAAGAAATATATTAGTAAAACACCGAATTTTGTATGTTGAACCATGTTTTAGTTTTATAATAGTTTATGTGGAATGTTAGCATTAGGTAATAACACATTTTAAATGCTTCTACATCAGTTCTTAGATTTGTGGGTAAATATCTCTGTAGCCACATGTACTATCTTCTAGTGAAATCTTATTTGATTCTTATTTCCCCACACCTTCAGTCTGAACGCTTTTACTGATTTGAGTGATATTAAAAGTAACATATCAACATTTTTACCAATTAAATTTCTGTAATTTCAATATGAATCAACAATTTTGATATAACAGCTTTTTCAGTTGTCAATATATTCATCCCCGCTCCAGTTCAATGTGAATTAAATATATCGTTAGAATTACTATGCTTATGTTCAACATGGTTCCATATTTGTGGAATAATGAAACCATTAACTAGTCACCAAATCCAGTGCAATGATAGTGTAAAATCAGTAACTGATCATCTTATTGTTGTTTTCCTTACAATTAAGTATTTCATTGTACACTATATTTCTGTTCTAACAGTAAGGCACATGTTATATATTTGATTCATGCCCTGCCCCCATCTCACACATAGACAAGATACATAATTTTGGAATAAATCTTAGAATTTGAAACTTACATTCAGGAAGTGGAGGTGTTTTTCTTCCTTGCCCTGTTTGTACAAGGGGACGTTTACCAAAAACCTGCGCATCAAAACTGGCATAATCAAATGGTACTTTTCCAAACTTCTCTTGTTCTTTTGACACTGTGGCTCTGGGAGAGGAGATGGTTTGTGATCGGAAATTGAACTCAATTTGCTTCACCAAGCTTGTCCTGAAGAGAGAGGGGAACAGTTCAAAAGAAACATGATGAAACTGTTGGCGAGCATATTAGCATCCGAATTTAAAGCAGATAGGACGTGTTGTGGCTGTGGGTACACGCAGAGAGCTCAGTGTGGGCAGAGCTGGACTCTACACCGGGCAAGTGGCGGGGAGGCACTGGAAGGCCACAAACTGCCTGCCCCTTGGGTAGTGGATGTGCAGTTCTTAATCATCTCATTCAGATGCCATGAGGACTGAGTTCTGGTATCTGTGAGCACAGGTGACGGTGAGCACAGCGAGCTCCTTAGTGCGAAATGCCATGTAACTTCCATTAGGCCTGACAAGTTCTGCATATTCTGTTAGTTAGAACTCCTGGTCAGATTAGCAGTGAAAAGTTGCCATTGTAACCATTATTTTCTGTCCAGAGGAAACTGCCCTGATCTCTGTCTGCAGAACTGGCAGGAATCTGATGCCTGAGAGTCAATGTGGGCACCAGAAACTTGATTCTTGAATTGTGTACTTTTTCTTCATCTTTTTACCTCTTTCTTCTATTCCACTCTGAATGTTTTTGTTAATTTAAATGATCTTTTCAACAATGTTTTTAATATGTTATCTATTAAGCTGCCATCAATCATTGTAATAGAAAGAAAGCAAAATTACTGAATTATAAGGATGGATCTCGTTTCTCAATTGACTCATCCCCATCCAAGCTAAATGTGAATGACATAGTCCTTAAAAATTACTGTATTTGGAGTAAACTAGGGCATCATATTTGTACAGCAACAGTTTCTGCCTAGAAAAAGAGAAATATTGTGGTGCGGTGGTCTATCAATAGAATAACATAAACAATTATACTTCTCAGAAATAAGTAGCCTCAAAACATATTTTTTCATTTGCTTTCCACCAAAACATTCATGAAATCAGAGTGCCAGTGTTTGACAATATTTTGTGATTAGGTAAAAAGGACTTTTCAGCTACTACTTAAAAATATTTGAATGAGCAACAGCTCTCACTACTGTGTTTCTAACCGTGGTATAGGCCCCTGAAGTTACATAAATGTTCTAAACATTTGCTTTTAAGAAATGAACAAAATGTAACAATGTCATTTTTAGATTTGATACATAGTCTAGTTAGGAAGAAATTAGTGAATATATACCAACCAAGAATTTTCTAAGAGTTTTAATTGTCAGTTATTTAGTAATTCATGATCTTAATTTAGGATCTTCTCTTAACATATTCTCTTTACTCCAGTGATTTGAATATCAGTTTTTACTTTTGAGTTAAATTTACAGATGCAAATAAGAAGGGAAGCCATATTTGAAAATGTTTCTAATGGCTACATGACTCAGTAACAATAAAGATTTGGTCATCTATTATAATCTGAAATCTCTTTTCCCACATATGTGACCTTTTTAATAATAAAAATATACCTTCACGCTATCATTATATTTGGTTTCTTGCTTAGGTATTTGTGAGATCTCCCAAACAAGAAATTGAAGAGTACTTGAGAGCAATTAGGACCAATAGGAAATATTTTTTTAATAGCTATCAAGTCATGGAATGAATTTTTGTTTCCAAAAACTATATGCACATGTAGAACAGAAGGATAAATGTGTAACATCACATATTTTGAGTGGGTATGAGTGATTTATACAGTCAAATGCTCTACCACTGAGCTGTGCCCCCGAGTATGAGTGATTTATCATGACATTTTCTCCAGACAGCAAGGTTAAGCCAAACATAAGGGAACTCACTTGACAGTGGATGGACTGTACTTAATGACACAGAATTTTGATTACTATATGCTATCATATACTTTATTGACCCACAGTATGTTACTATCACATAGAGCTTAATTTCAAGTAAAATTTCTGGAGGGTCTAGCAGTTCATTTAAGTGATACAATGATTCCTTGAACCAACCTCCCAAATGGATCTTGGCAGTTAAGAATGAAAAGCCGGGCCCTCCCTGGTGGCGCAGCAGGTTAAAGCACAGTACTAAGAAACTAAAAGCCACTTCAGCATGGGTTCGATCCCCTGCCCTGGAGGTGACCCACAAGGTGCAGCAGACCTCTCCTGACCCTCTTGCTGTTCCCCTCTGTCAGCCTGTTCTGCTCCCCACTCTGTCTCTGGTGAATCCTCTCACCTCCCGCACCTCTGGCCTGTACCCCAGTTCTGTATGCATAAATAAATAAATCTTAAAAAAAATGAAAAGTTGGTGTGTGCTGGCATGTGACGGTATGAGACCTCACAAGGAGCTTGGGGGGAAAGAGTATCAGGAACATCAAGGAAGGTCATACCTGTGAACTTGATCAGGATACTGCCCAGCTTTGGGAGACTCAAGCTGATTTTTGTCTTGGGACATTGCTAATTTTTCAGCTGCAGCAATTGGACAGCCAGAAAGACTGTTGGGAAAAAAAAAAAAAAGTGGGAGGTTTTGAGTTAAAATGATAATGTGCTTTGCTTTGGCATGTACCTCCCAGCATAATTGGCATATGTTAAATGTTAAGTCATATTAATAGTTCACTTAGCACCATTCTCCTACTAAAAGATTCCAAAAGGTTTTGCAAACTGCAGTGTGAACATTTGTCCCCCAACCCCATCTCAGAGGTGAAAGAAAACAAACTCACTTTTAAATAAAAATACTGTGTAAATGGCAAATAACTAAATGGTTCTGAAACTTCTATTAAGTAGAATGTGCTAATTTCAATCGCAACGTAACCACCTATGATTATTAGCAGGACAACTTCATGGTTTATCTTAGCATCATTAGCAAAACATCGCAGACTTAATTTTAAACCTTAAGATAGCCTGAAAGTATGGAATGTGAAGTTTTCTAGCAATATGCTTCTCAGTTTAATAGTATCTCAGACCCATGTAACCTATAGATAACCCAAAGTGTACACAGAAGAAAAAAAAACATTTTCACCAAATATACTTGAAAACAAATACAAAAATGTTTTAATTTAGTTTCAATCACAATAAAATGCATCTTGAAATGAAATGAAATCTACCTTCATCATAGCTTTTATTCAAAACTATAGTATGCTGACCTTTCGTACTTTTAAACGCTTATTGAATAGGACCCAATGTAAACTCCAGCAACACTTTTCAAACTCTGTTGAAATACAGAGCAAAAGAAAACAAGTTCTATTTGCATGGCTACATAAACTTGTAATTCTAGACTTCAAATAAATATTTTTGGTTATCATAAATTGACTGTTAAATGAAAATTTCTAGGAAAATAATGAAGATAATTCTTGTTTCTTCTGAATATATAGAAAAATATTTCTTATCTATTTCAAATGGTGAGGAATTTGATAGGGATCCAGCAATTTTGATAACACACTATTAGTTCATTATTTCCTTGGTGGATAGTTTTTATCGCTTCTTTCCATAATGTAAGTGATGAGCAGCTCATGAGAATTACCTCCGGTGTGTGTTGCGGTTGCTGTTCACATGTCCTCTTCCGGTGCATCCTGGAGTGGGACACTTGAGCACGTTCTCATGCATGGCAAGGACTAAGCACAAAATATCACATACAAGAGAAGGGTCATTTACGATCAACAACTCATTACCATGTTGATTTCTCAGCTTTGCCTTCAAAGGAATTTAGTTACATATACATCCCCATAAGTTGAAATAATTTGGGTTGAAACAAATTAGCACTTTAAAATTCAACTCAGGCCCTCCCTGGTGGCATAGTAGGTTAAAGCACAGCACAAGAAGCTAAAGCCACTTGAGCGTGAGTTTGATCCCTGCCCTGGAGGTGACCCACATGGCATGGCAGACCTCTCCTGACCCAGCCACTGTTACTTAGTCAATCTGACTGTTCTGCTCCCCACTCTGTCTCTGGTGAAGCCTGTCACAGCCCCTGTATTTCTGGCTTGTACCCCAGTTCTGTATGCATAAATAAATAAATCTTTTAAAAAAATTCAACTCAACCAGCTTGTTCAAAGTGTAATTTCACTAAACTCCATACTATGGTTAGTACTAGACTTAAACTGAAAATATCATAACCTTCCTTTTACAATTTAAAGGAAGGCTGTAGGTGGAGAACATCATTTGTCAAATAGTTCTTTCCTCCACAGCTCGAAGTCTGATATATAATCTTATTTCCTAAAGGATATTATTTTTATTCTTTGTCCATTATTCTCCTCTTCCTACCCCCCCCCACCTTTTAAAACTCCCACTGTCATTTGGTTATTGGCAAAAGTGTGTGGTTGAAGGACCAATCAGCTAATCAGTTTGAGGAACTGTTAGTACAGCTGACAGTGCTGAGATGATTTGGTTCAGTGATTTGCAAAACTGTGTTGTTTCAAAGGGTGATGAGTTGTTCTTAACATTGCTATTTGTATGATTAAGGGATGTTTTGAGAAGTTGGTTCATAAAGTGGAGGATATAACATGCAGAATCTTCAAAACAGAGGTGATCCTTTCCTCATGTTAGCATGTATTTTGTTCTGTTTCCTAATGAGTTCACATCTGCAGACTTTCTGACCTTGGAAGGATCATCCTTTTCAGGGTAGCCAATCCTTGAAGTAGTAAATAACGAGTCTGCCAGTGCATATTTCAAATGCAAACCAACCAATCCAGAATCCATACTTACTGGCCTCCTCTTGGACTTCATCCAGAGCCTGGCATCAGACTGCTCAGAATGCCCTGTGAGTTCCGGAGCCTACTGAAATGTTACAACCAGCCAGTCCTAAGCGTATAGACACTGGTTTCACCTGAAGAAGCAAGGCTCTTGCCCACAACTAGCCCCTCCTCTGCCCCAACTGGCCTCATCCTCCTACAAGGCCTTGTACAACTAGCGTATCCCCTCCTCTTGGGAACTGGGACAAAATATATTTATTGTCAGTGGAAGTTGTCTCCTGATCTGTTGATCTTAATATATCCCATGATTCTTGTTAACACATGGTATTTTATACACACAGTCAGATGGCAACAGAGAGAAAACGTTACATTTCCATATCTAATTCCATATTGAAGTAAAAATAAGATCATGGTGACATAGTGCAATGGAGGGAAAGGAGCTACTTCTATTAGAGATAACCAATACTCACTTTCCAGGGGAACCCGCACTTTGTGGGGGCACCCCGAAAGGCTGCGATGATGGGGATAGAGGCCTGTCACGTGTCCTGTGCCATCGCATCCAGGGATGGGGCACTTGGTCTCCCGCTTTTCAGACCTCAGTGAATCTACAAAGAAATTAAATTGAGACATTCATTTTGTTATTCTTTCCCTTCCCATTCAAAAGAGTGGCCTTGCAGGTGACATTCTCACTTTATTCAGTTTCATCATCATAAACATTCTTCTCATATTGCCTTGAATAAGACCCTCAACTAAGACCTGTAGAAACATAAAAAATGTTTTCAATTTTCTTGGTTTCCTAAGCAGAGGCCGGCACAGGGCAAGGGAGTGTTAAAATACAGAGATGGTTTTAAGCTGTCATGTCACAGAGCAGCTAGAGCCTCATTATGAAAAATCAGCCTCGCCAGAGAAGATGCACAGACTCCCCAAAAGAAAAGTAAGAAAGAAGAAAGCATTTATTTAAAGAATATTTTTATATTTATATTTAAACTAATGCCTATTGAAGGAGTCTGCAGAAAGTCAGGTTTAAAATTATACAACAAAGAAGTCACCACATCTGAGAATAGGCTCTCTGGCCTTGTCCTTGGGGGTTCCTGCCACTCACACTACTTCCAGGCGCATGCAGAGCAGAGCCTACTCTGACAAGAATTAGGATAGGGAGTCAAGAAACAGCCAGAGCCAAGCCCAGCCAATCAGCAGTGCTGCAGAAGCCCAAGATTCCAGAACCCCGATGGCTGTCACTTCAAATTAATATTCAGGGTCTAGGGAGAAGCTGTTGATTTTGCTCGGAACATTGAAACTGAAAACAGAGGTGATTGGAATTAGGCTTGGCAAGGAGAGGCTCTCAGGAGAGACCTACAGAAAACGGAAAGGCAAAGAGTGGAGGGTTCCTGGAACCTTCTAGAGAGGCTGCCAAGAACCTGCGGTGGTGATGGGGTCACTGGTGCAGTCAGGTGGAGAAAAGATATCTTTATGACACAGACTGTCATGGTTCGACAGCCTTGCAGAGGAGGGTTGAAGACAGGTTTGTGTTTACATTTCCTGGTGTACATATATGTTGAGGGTTAGGTTAAGAGTTATAGAAATACTTAGTCAACAAGGGAAAATGAACACTAATGTGTAAGCAGAGGAGGAATTCTTTACAATACATGTATTTTTCAATATTTGGGATAGATTGGTAAAGATAAAGAAGCACTTTCTTCTAGTCAAAATTGGAGTGATACCAATCACTGGCACAGCATTCTGGGCACTCAGAGACCCCAGATTCAGAATGAAGATGGCAATCTCAGAGATCCTTGGTGGCAAGTGAACACATTCAGGACTGAGAGTAAAAGGAAATAATTGGTATGATCCTACTGGAGAGCTCCTGGCAATGGAATGCAGGGCAGAGACTTGGTATGTGAGACACAGAGGGCCCAGATGCTCCTGCTCCTAGTGTGGCACCTGGAGCAGGGCAGTGTTTCAGGATGCAGGCAACTGACATCTCAATGGCAGAACACGGCTGTGGTCAGGTGAACCTCTGTGACGCCACCACCCCTGTTGATGGGTTATAAATAGTCCTAGGCATATGGGCACAGCAGGTTGTATGTAATGCAATTATTTGGGGGCATGGTTTCAGCAAAGGAGGAGGAACTAAGGACCCTTCGAGTTATCACACAGACTACAAGGGAAGAGAAAACTAAATTATATGAGAGAAATGCACAGCTGGCAGACAGAGATGATTTGAGTAGCAGGCAGAAATGCCATGACATCCAGACTGTACCCTGTGTTCTGTAAAACAAAAAGGGGCATTTTAAGAATTTTGATGTAGTCTCTGATTTTGTAGATATGTATTCTGTTGAATTAAAAAATTGCCAAATTCCAATACATAAAGACAAGAAACACCTCAGTCAAAATCCTTGAAGCTTGGTACAAGTGAAATGAGAGTTGACACCATAGGAGAATGAAATAGAAAAAACTCCTTCTTTGCATTTTGATGTTCTTCCCTCCCTTGGATTTAGTTCAAATGAGGCCACATTTCTAAGCCACACTGAACGGTTTGGCGTGGAACATTTCTCCTCCTTGCCACACTATTTGTCTACAGGAAGCCAGAGAGGGTGTGGGAGATAAGGCAGGGCTGGCTCCTGACCAGGTGGGATCCACTGACAGCCCATCTTGTACCTTTGTCTGTAAGCCTCCCCTCTGCTGGGAAAGACAAAGATGCTGATGAAAAGCTCTGTGGGGCAGGACCTGTTTGCATGATAAGAAGGCAGAACTGAGAGCAAGCTGGGTGCTTCTCTGGCCTGACTCTTCTTGCATTATTTTCTTTGTGGAATGATGCATAATACAGGTAACCTTACACTCTGTGACCTTATATCCTGGTTAGCCTCGGTGTATCCTATTCATACCAGATATACTCTATGATTGTTCATCTTCACTCTTCTTCACTCTTAATTTTCATAGCTATAAAAGATGTTAATGTGATTCTACTGTCTCATTAAGTGCTCACTAGAAACAGTATAGCCAGATTGCTTTACCTTAGAATTGCCAACCTATTTGAAGACTTGGGTAAAATGATATTTTTAGAACTTACTTGCACTCCCTAACAGTTAAGTCACATTCCTAAGACATATGGGAATTTGAAATAATATCTTCGAGAATGTGGCTATCAGAAAGTATAAGTATTGACTTAAAAGCTGTGGAATGCATGTCAGAGAAAAAGACGATTCTTATGCCACTTGCTCCCATGTGGTGTAGGTAAGTGAACACTTAATTTAAATTCTGTAGACACCCTCCAGACTATACTTGTATAAACTTGTATAAATATCCCATGTTCCCTGCAACATGGGATATTTTTGGTTTTGCCTCTATCTCTACCAGTCTGGATCTCCTTGCACACGACTTACATGCAGTTCAGCAAGAACATGACGTGGGCAGCAGTCTATACTGTCGGTCCATCCAGCCCCATTAGAAATTCTGAATGTCTTCAGCTTGATCCATACTTAAAAATCACCGCTAGTGATGCTTAGTTATTCTTTTTAAAAGTTTTAAAAGTTTCATTGAAAGAACTAAACAATTGTAAAGAATTTTAAACTAGAGCATAAATAATTACTATTTCTCCTAATAGAGTTCACTGACTGGAAGAGATAATGAATTGTAAGATGAATCATCAACTTGTATGTTAGAAAGAAAAAGAGAATGGAAAGTTAAATGGTGACAATTCCTCCTGATTTCAGAGATGGTAAAATGGAGAAACTGTGTACATTAAGATTAATGAAATATAGTATGTTGGAAATTATGAGTTTTTGGAATTTGAGTCAATTTTTATCTTTTTCCTGATTTTGTTCTTCATTAAAAAAAAAAAACAAAAATGAAGCTTAACAAGTTGCATATTACTGATACACCCAAAGCTAAGCGGAGCATCCTGTTTGAAGCTACACACTAGTCATTAATATTCTGTCCCCATGCCAGCCCTTGCAGTATGTTGGCATAGCTTTATTATCTTGCTCCTCATTACATGACAATATTTTATTCTTTTTTTGTTTTCATGGCTCTGAGCTGCAAGACAATATTCAACAAGATTGCAAATGAGTACTAAAATGGATTTAAAATGAAAAATGATACAGTTCATTTTTGGACATATCTCAGCAATCAGAACATCTAAATCATATGAACATGCTATTCTTAGAAGCTCTTTGGGGACATGACCTTGATTTTCTCTAAGGTATGCATCCTTCGTAATTCAGTGGTTCTCAGACCTTAGAGTACCCAAGAATCACCTGAGGTCCTAGCTTAAAAAAGAAAAGACAAGCTTTAGAACTGCACGTGTGATGGGATTCAGTAGTATCCACCTTACTCTGGCCTTCCAGGCCCCAAAGGACCACTGCTATTTGGGAAACTCCACTTACTATAAGTGCCGTCATTATGTGTATGTGGCAAAAGGGAAAGGAAACTCCCAATGGGGAAAGTACACAATTTCCCTAAAGTCAGGGATAATTCTAAGGTTTCCTCCAAGCCCAATCCCAATAAAGAAATAAATACTTCTCCAATAAAGAAATAGGTATTCTTTATTGCAAGACCAGATATCTGTGTGCCCTGAATTAGACACCTTGGAAAAGCATAGACTTAGAAAAGCATTGATACCAAGTTTTATCTTAAGAAGAAACTGGGCATCCTAAGTGTTCTGCATTCAGCTGAACATTATTTTCTGCTCAAAATCTCAGTAAGAACTTGGGAAAGAACACTTAAATTCATACACTTGATTTTATTAACACAATGACTCAAAGTCAAACAAGTATTAATGCATTTCTATGATGTTGAATGAAATACCTAAAAAAAACAAAACTAGAATTGAAGACAGGATGGTATTGGATTAAAAATAGACATATAGAAAAATAGGATAAAACTGAGAGCTTCAAAGTAAATCCACACTTACATGTGTAGTTAACTTATGAAAAGGAGCTTACAGTGGAGAAAGGAAAGTCTCTTAAACAAATGGTATTAGGAATACTGGATAGCTAAGTGGAAGAGAATGATAGTAGGCCACTATCTTACACCTTATAAAAACTTAACTCAAAATAGATTAAAAATTTAGATATAAGATCTGAAGCCATAAAAAATGACAGAGAAAACATAAGCGGAATATCCTGAAACATTGGCATCAAAAATGTTGTTTTTTAATGGACACAACTCCAACAGCAAGAGAAACAAAAGCAAAACTAACTAAGTGGGAGTACATCAAACTAAAAGGCTTTTAAACTGCAAAAGAAACTATCATTAAAATGAATAGACATCCTACTGAATGAGAGAAAATATTTGTACATCATACATCCAACAAGGGACTATTATCCAAAATCTACAAAGAACTCATACAACTAAATAACAAAAACAAATAGCCCAATCAAAAAATGGGCATGAAGCTAAATAGACACTTTTCTAGTGAAGCATAAAAATGGCCAACAGGCACAAGAAGAAAGATTCATCATCACTTAAATATCAGGGAACTCTAAGTCAAAACTACAGTGCCATATACCACCTCATTCCAATGAGAATGGCCCTATCAAAAAGACCAGAAACAAGAGGAAGTGAGGATGCAGAGAAAAAGGAATCCTGCATACTGTTGATGGGAGTGTAGCCAGTCCAGTCTCATGCAAAACAAACAAATAAATAACCAAACAATACGGTGATTTCTTAAAATATTAATAAATGAACTACCATAAGATCCATAATATCCACCCCTCAGTATCAATCTAAAAATGCAGAAACACTAATTCAAAAGGATATATGCATGCTTATGTCCAGTGAAGAACTATTTATAGTAGTTAAGTTATGCAAATAACATCTTACCAGGAAAAGATCAATATATAAATAAATGTGATATATATGTATATATCTATACATTTATCTATATCATATAAAATACACACACACAACGGAATACTACTCAGCCATTAAAAAAAAACAAATCTGGCCATTTTAGATAACATGGATGGAATGGAACTTGAGGGGATTATGGTGAGTGAAATAAGTCAGAATAAGAAAGACAAATACCAGATGCTTTCATTCAAAGAAACAGACAAAACCAAGCTAAAACAAACCCTTGAAGACTGATTGCAGAATTGAGATTACCACGGGAAATCTGGGCCTGAGGAGCAAAAGGCAGACCCATCATAGAACTGTGGGGGCAACTATTGGTGCTTTGGTGGGGGGTGGTGTTTGGCATGGTAAAAGACAGTTGAGGAAGTATGAACCTACGCCCCTAAAATATATTAATATATTCACTGTTAGAAAATGTCATTACTTCAATTTGAAAAGTACTATATAGTTTTAAAAAACTATATATATATAGTACTATATATTCTTAAAAAAAATTCTTAAATTTGGGCCCTCCCTGGTGGTGCAACAGGTTAAATCCCTGCACTATGAAGCCGCAACTGCTTCAGCACATGTTGGATTCCCAGCCAGGGAGGTGACCCACATGGCACAACAGACCTCTCCTGTCTAGCTTATTGTGCCCCTCAGCACTGTGTTTCAGTTAAACCACCTATTCTGCTCTCTCTATCTCTGATGCATCCTCTCAATCCCACACCTCTGGTATGTACCCCAGTTCTGTATGCATAAATAAATAAATCTTAAAAAAAAAGCAGCCAAACTTTAATAGAGGATATGACCTTTTTTTCATATGTAAAATAATTATAAAATTGAGGAAGCTTGATCTGAGAACAATCTAGAAAGAAGGAAAAAATATTTTATGGCATACATATGAAGTTGTCACAAAGCTACCTGCTGGAATGAATCGAATTTCACCAATATTGTTCCAACCCCAAAGCCATTTTCTTTTTAAAATAAATGCAAAAACACATCTTACGTTTATTGTTAAAGATTTGCCGTCCACTCATGTCAATAACTTTGGTTTGTCTCCTTTCTCCCGCAAGGTGCTCCAGTAGGAACCTGTCCAGCTCTTTGTAGGTATTATGGAAAACACAGCCTCGCTCAGCCTGCAGAGCGATCGCCTGCTCCAGCACACTTAAGTTCCCCTTTGCTTCCTCCAGGTCCGTAGACTCTTCGGTCACAGCTGCCAGGCACTCCTTATCATCATCCTCCATGCCAGGAAATGAGGATTGGGCTTTGCCATCCAGGGATTCAATGTAGGTGCTTCGTGGGTCTCTTCTCTCTGCCTCAGACTCACACATGTTTTCACAAGAGATAAATTTGTCACCTTCTGTTTTTATATCAGGAACTTCCAATAGGTCTTTTCTATTATCCACTAATATGTACTTTGGGGCTCTATGTGGTTTGGTTTCTTCTGAGAAGTTGGAGCCACTGTCCCAACCGTTCTCTGTACTTTCTGAATTACTTTCATTGTCATCGGAGGAACAGAAAGGTAGCTGGGAATCATCAGTTTTGTCTTTCCCATCATCAGAATGAACCATAAAGCACTCATCTACTTCATCATTCTCTGCTTTAAGAGAGTGGATGCCACTGTCATTTAAGTTTTCACTTGTTGTCTGAACTGATACATTTTTTTCAAATTTCCCCAAGTGCATTAAAGATTTGACCATGAGCTCTCGATAACAGCCATATCTATCTTCCTTGCCATTGGAATTTTCTGGGGCTGTTAAATGCAGGTTCTCATCCATAGCTTTTATCTTGATTTCATCTAAGGAGAAAAGGAAAATAATATTTGTGAAGGGGGAACAAAAATACATTAAGACTATAGCACTGACTATTGAGAGATGGCTAGGCTGACAATAGATATTTATACGTTTTTCTTTTTTAAAGATTTATTTATTTGTACATACAGAACTGGGGTACAGGCCAGAGGCTCAGGGGCGGTAAGAGGCTTCACCAGAGACAGAGTGGGGAGCAGAACAGGCAGATCGACGAAGCACACTGCTGAGGGGAGCAGCGGGCGGGCCAGGAGACGTCCGCCACGCCGTGTGGTCACCTCCGGGGCAGGCGGGAATCAAACTCATGTGCAAGCGGCTTTAGCTTCTCAGTGCAGTGCTTTAACCCGCTGCGCCACCAGGGAGGGCCTGATATTTATACATTTACATATATGTGTGCAATGTGTGGGCTACCAATTTTATAGACATTGGGGAGAAAAATACATATCCTCTTAAAGCAAAGCAAAACTGAGGACTTGATATTGTGAAAACTGCCTTTGAAGAAATTTTTGAATTTTTAGCACATTAAGAGGACTTGCTTCCAGGGTAAAGAAGAAGGTATTTAACAACAGAATGCTAAAATTATTGCTGCTCTCTCTCTTATGCTTCCAAATCAGAAGCATTGCTAACCAGAAGGAATCAAATATGTATAGTACTGTACATTATAAGGAAAATATCAGATTTCTCTGGTAGCTTGACAATATATTTTCTAAGCTTATTTGGCTTGCTTTCTCTGCCTCAAGAAAGTATAGTTTTTCTAACATACTTCCACATTCTATGGAATGCTAGCTAAAACACAAAATACAACTACCCAGAAATAGCTAACAGAATTTTGAAGCTTTCAAGATTTCCTGTTCACTTTCACAATTGTCACACACACACATTCCAGGCTGAAGGAAGTACAACAGGAAAATGAGCATGATCAATAATATTTTTCTCCTTTGGTATTTGTGCACATGTATGCAAAGGAACATGAGACGAGAGGGGTGGTTGAAGGGGGTATTGAGTGTTGCTCAATACAGGGATGACTAGAGTTCTGACAATCAAGGAGCCAACGGACTGGGAGTGTGCAACACACATTCTGTCTACCCAAGCGTGGCTCAGTGAGGCACATCAGTGGAGGGTACAGACCCTCTGGGCACCTAGCCCTGACACAGCAGGCATGGAGGTCTGGGGATCGTGGCATACAGGTTATGAAATGAGCCAGAAACTCTGCCATAGTCCCTTGCAATTCACCAACACCCTTCTCCTCGGAAAAAAAAAATCCTCAGGACGATTTCTGTGTCTCAAAAAGCAGAATGGGAAACAAAATAATAAGCCCCCTTAAAAACTGTTCAAGACACCAAGTGAAGTGCATTCTGTGCTAATAAATATCTTTGGAGGAAAGAAAAGCACAGCCGTTCCTCTGAGGGCTACAGGAGAGGGTGTCTGTGCAGAAGACAATGTGCCTTTTTTTGTCTCATTTAATTTTTTATAAACATTGTCTCTGACAAGGACACTCAAAAATACATCTCCATCATCTTCCTTTCTGGTAATTATCTCCCTAAATCAACACTGGACTGCCAGGATCAAGTAAATATTGCCATAGTAACTAAAAGCATTTTTGGATGAAGGGAAGAATTTAGTCACAACACTAGCCCCTTTAAATAATGCTGATTATAGGGTGCAGTCTTTTGTTGGGATCTATTCAACATAAACTGAAAAATTTAACATTTTACTTCCTAGAAAAGAGGCTGCATAAACAAGCACATAATATTTGATAGGATGGTCTATCCTCTCCTGAATTCATATCAGAGGAACTCCAGGTTTAAATAATATATTAAACATAGTCTAAAATGCAAATGAAGTTTTTCTCAATATCACGGTTGGCTATTAAGAGAAAGTGTAAAGGGTTATGATAATTTTAAAGTATTATGAACTACAGAAAACAAATAAAAAGCATTTTCAGTGAATATGCTCAATTCATTGAACTATTCTCTCACTCCACTTAACTACCCACATGTGTACAATAATGATTTATAGACATTATACCTAATTATGCATATTTGGGCTGTGTTAGAGTGCTAACAAAAGCTCTAGAAAGCAACAATTACCTCTGTTGCTTAGCTACATAGTTTAAAATATTCCTATTAAGTGCAGATCACCAGAGAGGCGGGAGTGACAAAAACGCACATGTGCAGGACAATGCATTTCAGTGTGCTGCTGCCAACTGCTAGCATTTTGGGTCATTTCCAGTTTACATAATTGTCCGGTTCAACTGTTTGTTATATGCTAAAAGAAAATATTTATTAATTATTCTTCAGAAAAAGAGGAGCCCTGCGTTGGAGGTGCCTGTGCGCCTCCCACATGATGGTTTCGAGGGATAGTCTGTAAACCTGCAGACAACTTTCCATGTTCTCACCCCTCTCCGGCACCACTGTAATTTTAAGGGGAAAAAGTTGAGTTAGCTCTGGAGCCAGACAGATCTGTGTGACGAGGCACTTATTTCTCTTAGCTTTGCAACAGGCTGCCTACTTTTTAATGCGTGTGTGTTCTCATTTTTCCTACGACGCTAATAACCCTACCTTTATAATCAGAGAGACCCAGGCCTGCTTCTGAGTCTGGTATTTGTCTCTGAGCAATTTGGGCAGTTTTCTTAGTGTTTCTCTGTATAAAGCAGGACTACGATGGGGTGGTGGAGGGGTCAAATGGGAGTGTGCAGAAAGCAGAGGTCACCCAACAGTTCAGGCAGCCATGGCTCTCTTCTTGTTGGGCCAGATACTATTCTAGAAGATAGCAATGACAAAGGATATGTGCGATCCTCCACATAAATGAGATGGAGTCTTATTTTTAATTAGATAAGTTGTCATCTTGACCTTCAACAAAGGTCTTAACACCAGAGCACAAGAAAGGCCCATCAGTTCGCTGCCCACTCCACTTGTACGATGTGAGGCAGCCGCTGCCTGGTGGACAGCACAGGTAAGGAAAACCGCCAGGAGTTGCAGGTCCAGCGATGGGGTAGGTTGTGGCTCAGACCACTTGCTTGTGTGATCTTGGGTGGCCTGTATCTCCTGAGTCCTGGGTCCTCATCAATAAAATGAGGGTGATTCATTGTTCCAATGGCTGGATAATCAATGGTCTTAAGACAATTAACTGACATCTTCCTGGCATGGTGCTCTATACTTCGTTTGGATCTTCACAATAATGTCAATGTCCAGAAGGGACACTCTGGTAATAAGGAGCTCTGGGTTTACAGATCATGCAGCAAGCAGAGGGGGACTGGGATCTTGACCCAGAGCCAAGTGCTATCCAGATTTACTGTTTCCCTCTCCCCAGACACATCGTAAGTCAGGGCTAATGTTTACAAGTTATACCAACCCTTAGAAGAAATTGCTCAAGAGCCTCCCTGGTGGTACAAGAAGTTAAGTCTCAGCACTATGAAGTAATCCACAGCCACTGCAGCATGAGTTCAACCCCTGGCCAGGGAGGTGACCCACATGGCACAGCAGACCTCTCCTGTCTCCTCTGCTACTCTTCTCAACAGTATTTCAGCAGATCTTCCTGCTCTGCTTCCCACTCTGTCTCTGGTAAATCCTCTCACCCAGCAACTCTGACCTGCACCTCAGCTCTTGTATGAATAAAAAAAAAATCAGTTTTTGGGGGCAAAAAAATGCTCAAAATACTAATCACCTGTTATTTTCAAAATTTAGATATTTTCAAGAACAAACTTATATGACAGTGGGGTATAATTGTCTACTACCTTCCCGTGAAGAAATAATGAAACCTAAATTATAAATAAAAATACATAAAAACAAATAATAGCAATAACAAAATTAACAAATGCCCCCACCTTAACTTTCTTAATACTACAAGACAGGTTGGAAATTCCTAGATCCAACTCTTTGGGAGATGATCAGAGGTCCAGACAGTTACTGTACAAGTCTTTATCATAATGAGTGCAGGACAGAATTTCAAAATGTGGGGAAAGGATGATTTTTTTCCTTTTGGAGTAAATTAAGTAAATCTTTTCACCTGATATGTAAAAGTTCATATTTGCTTATGTAAACTGATGTGTCCACTCTTACTAGGTAGCTAGTAACCCTAGAAAGTGCATATGTATGTATATCAACTACTCTGCATCAAGGCAACTTAGAAATATCCTGAAAATAACAATATACATAAATTTGAAAACTCCTTTGGTTTAACCCTCTTTGTTACAATTAATATAATTAATGAACATATCAACCAATACATAACTAATTATATATTGATTAATATAATCTGTTTTTATAATTATCTAAGTTACTTTTATAAGCAAATTCATTTTGCAAGCAAGTTAGTTTTACTGGAAGTGAAAAACCTTGAATAATGAACTCATCTTTCAAAGTTCTACAACTGAAGTGGCATGTGTTTTTTGTGGCAACATAATTTGTGTGGCAAGAATCATTCCTGTTCCTAGCACTCGATGGCTCTTGAGTGTGTGGTTATAAAGGGAAGGAACTCCACGCCCTTATTGATCTCACTACAAAGTGGCCTTTCTTTTCCTTACTGCACTGGGAACACATCTGCTTGTCCAATCTCCTAGTAGAGATTTGCAGGTTCATCTTCTGTTTGCGACTGTGAAGAGTTGTATCTACCTGCATTGCTTGTCCATGTTCTCATCTAGTTCCCTTAATGCCAACCTGCAGTTCTTTGAAAGTCAGCTGAGTGAATGGGTAATAAATACATTCAGTTCATGACCTAAGCTTCCATGAACATAATAACCTTTCTCCATCATCTGAACTACCCACAATTAAACATTTGGCAAACTTCTGGCCAGGTGAAGCTCTTGGGATTGCTGGAATTCATGGGAAAATGGGCAAAAAGCTCCAATCTGGGGTTAGGCACAACTCAGCTCTCTTTTCTTCTACAGGGTGAAGGACAACCAGCTTAGAGGACTGAAAATCAATTTTGCTCTTCCAACTAGGAATAGGAGTATCTGTGACCTGTAGATTTTGCAACTATATCTTTTTGATTTGATGTGGTAGGATTTTTAGCCAATCTGCTTTTTGAAGGTAGTCAGAGCATGGGCAGAACTGGGTTATGGAGGAAAGATAATTGGGAAATGATTATTTTGCTGGTATTTTAATTGTAATTGTTTTCTTTCTAAATGTTACAAATCACATTAGCGTAAGCATTAATTCTTTTTGGTAATCAATGATTTCATCTGTCAAATTTTGAACATAATAATACATACCTCATGTCATTGTTGGATAGAGTAATGAAATAATTTATGTGCCTGGATTATATTAAGTAATTAAAAATAATGGTCAGTGCTGCTATAATTAGCATATTAATTTTTATTGTAGTGGTTCTAGTACTAAGTATTAGTCAACTTTTGTGAATCTGCAATTGATGTGAAACCATATTTAAAACTGAATGCTTAACTGAGTATGTGTTGACAATACAGTTTCTAGGGTAATAATATGCATCAACAATAATAAAAAACAACAGTAAAAGGCAAGAAGCCTGAGTGTAGATTCTGTATTAAGAATGTTTTGATGAAAGTTGCCTATTTTCTAAATATTTGGTAAATTAATAAGACCTAAAATAACTGTACCTTAATCCTAAATATACTGATTCAAATTCTCCCCTCTCCACTCCATTATTAGATTCAACCTGCACTTTTCATGAATCAACAAAAAATGGAACAATTCAAGGAAACAACAAAGCCAAGGGTGATTATAGTTTACAGATAAGTCATGAGGCTTTATGTCACACACTCTATATAAAAGAGTCACTTAGACACTGTCAATTCAAAATGCAAATTTGCTCTGACTACAGAATCTCAAAGTGCTTGCAAGCAAGCACCACTGAGATGTGGTGGTCCTGACCTGAGATTTGAGCTTACTTACTATGCTCTCACATCTTTTTTATTAACACCTATTATTATTATTATCACTGCAATTCTATATGTACTAGATATTTAGCACCTAAAATATCATTGCTTTTGTTTTGTGTCATGCATACTTCTTTTTAAATAATAATATATTTAGTATATTTTCATTCTTTAAAAAGCCACATTCAGAAAAAATGTGTATTTTATAGAACATAGACACACCTATATCCTTTGAATTTCACTCACCCACAAAAATGATATTCAAATTCTTTGAGAGACTGTGACCACAGGAACATGGGAGTAATGATAAAATGGGGAAAAACACATCCTATAATCTTGAAACAGTGCTATATGTCACTTAGTTTGCAAACAGTGTTTGATGAGTATGTGGAGAATTAAATTCATGGAATATAATGTGTACCTAATGGTAAATTTAAAGCATTTATTTAGGAAATAATAGGCACAGAAATAAGTTTTCTATAATTCATTGCTTTCCCACTGTAGGAAATTCTAAGCTGCCAAATTTAGACAGCATCTAAAGTCCATTGCTATAAAAATTAATTATTTATTATTATTCTTCTTTGTCACATGACTTGACTTAACATGGTTCTCTGAAAATAAGACAGCACATGTTCCTCTTTTTTTGCCAGGCATTCTCCCCCCTCCTGAATTAGAATAAACCCTATCCACCTTTCAGGTCTCCATTTTACAAACTGATGCATAATATATATGTCATAAGTGGACATATGCAAATTTGATTCCTGGCATATAGCTGACCCACATGGCACAGCAAACCTCTCCTGTCTCACCCACTGCTCCCCTCAGCAGTGTATTTCAGTCAATCTGTCTGTTCTGCTCCCCACTCTGTCTCTGGTGAATACTCTTACCTCCCCCTACCTATCTAGCCTGTGCTCCAGTTCTTCTGTACATAAATAAATACATATTTAAAAAAAAATTGAGGATTCTCCATGGTGGCACAATGGGTTAAAGCACAGCATTATGAAGCTAGTCACAACAGCTTCAACACAAGTTTGATACCAAGTCAGGGCGCTGACCCACATGGTGCAGCAGATTCCTCCTGTCTTGCCCACTGCTCCCCTCAGCAGTTACTTAATCAATTTGCCTATTCTTCTCACCACTCTATCTCTGGTGAATCCTCTCACCCCCTGCACCTCTGGCCTGTACCCCAGTTCTGTATGCACAAATAAATGTTTTTTAAAAAATTGAATATATTAAGATCACAATCCACTTGCATTGTCCTATGTTGTCAATATGTTAGGGGGCCAAATAATACTATTTATGCCTCAAATAAATGTTTTAGCTATATATATATATTATATATATACACACACACACACATATATATACATATATACACACACATGCACACATAGTACTGTATACTATAGTACCATAGTGACTGAGACAAATTAAGAACATGATAAAATATTTTGTATGTAACATATACAAATATATGGTTGCATGCTTACAACATTTATTTTATATGTATAATAGATATTGTTTTAATCCTCACTATATTTAGAGATTGAGACTAAAACAGGGAAAATTTTTATGTAGGCATATTACCTATATTTACTTATCTTAAATAGCTTAAAGCTTAAACATGGTCTTTTTTTAGAAGGGCCTTTTCAAGAATTAGGCATTCATTTTATTAGAGATTCAGGAGCCCTTTAAATTTAAGGCTGTTTTTCTTTCTTTTACTCAAAAAGAGGCACAATTCAATCCTATGCTCCTGGAAATGAGATCCGGATATGGACTCTGTTGTTTATCTTTAGACCCTCTACAGTTCCTGATAAATAACTGGCCCTGAATAAATGGACACTGAGTGGAATAAAAATTCTGTTTGGTTTCCAAATTGGAACAATCTTTTACAACCACACAGACTACATCTCCTCCATCAGTGAAGACCCTGTCAGCGGCCAGGGGTAATAGAGGACAAGGCTGTCCTCCTGACTACCTGTGGCACGGGGCCCGTTGGCTTCCAGAAGGCCACCGTCCTCATCCGCCTCGGTCTTGCTGTCCTGTTCTTCCTTGCAGTCCATGTTCGGGCTGTAGTGTCTAGGCTTCATGAGCAGGGATTTTCTCTTGTTGATGGGGACCCCCAGAGCCTGCTCCCCAGCTCTCCTCTTCTTTGCTATGGAACAGTCATATGCAGCACTGCAGTGAGAAAAATCGAGGCAAATTAAGGACATAGCAAAACAGTGCACTACTGTCTGCTCTTAATTTTCAGAAAGAAAACCCAAAGCCTGTATAAATGTGGGACTGAAGGTTTAGGGTTAGTTGCTGGCACTAACATAAACAGTCCATCCACTGATTTCATTGAACTATGTGGATTCTGTTTTGCTGTCTATCAGAAGAGTTAAAAAAAAAAATCATCCTTAATCCTGAGTAAGCATATGTTAATCTGTGCTTTGCTTGGCACTACACTAAATACCCAGGGAGGGATGAAACAAGATTTTCACTGGTTTTCTAATCCTAAGAAACAGCTAATGTGAAAAATATACCACCAGATACAAAAGACGTGTCCAGTATGGATAAATCACAAGGTTTTTCAAATAGTTGTTTGCTACTGAAACTGCTTATCTCTGCCACAGTTGTACATCAAACCTGAGATGCCACATTCTGGGCTTTGACTTGAAAGAAAGCTATGGACATTCGATCAACCCATCCTCAGACACCAAAAACATATAAATGAAAAAGTGAAAAGATGCTCCATGGCATTCTGCCTTTTGATTCTCACCCATCTGGCACACAGAATAAGCAAATAACAGGAGAAGAAATAAGATTGGATTTCACAAAAATGGACAATAGCTCATCCTTACTCCTGTTCTCATGTGGCTTTATTTGGAAATATTTCTGAGGGTGACCATTTCAAAATAGATATTCTACATATAGCTCTTTCAGAATTAATGAGATTACTGTATATACTGATATTAACACAAATATTCTCTTGAAAGGATACAAAAAGACCAGAGAGTTAAAACAATAGGAATGATGAGTGATATTTATTAAATTCTGGTAGAGAAAAAAGCAAGATCTTTAGATAAAAAGATCCAAAGGAGAGACTCCTAGACTTAGAGGAAATAATATATTGCTTATTACATTACTAAAATATAATCATGTGCCAGTAATATTGCTAGGTGGACAGAGCTCTTACATTGTTCCTTTGGACATATTATTGCAAAGGTGGTAGCCTATTAATGAAAATTTTGTAGCTGTAGTGAATTCTTGAATCTAGAAGTGTAGATTTTAAATCTTCAGAGGAATAAAAAGCTTATTCCTTCTAGGTTAAAGGAAGATTCTGGAAGAAGACCTAATTCATAAGTGCTAGAAATGTATCAAAATATTAAAATTTAGGTCCCTGAAAATTATCCTAAGGAAGAAAACAGTGATGTTCCTAAATCTAGTGCTTCTGCAAAATTTCTTTTGAGTCCAAATTTAAAATGACAATGTAGAGAAAATGGAGTGACAGAGAATGTAGCCAGAGGGCCATGAAAGCAAATACACGCTCTTTTAAGAAGACTGAAGAAGGTGAAGAATTACATGGCTGAATCTGCTAGTTTGCTAAGAACAGTTTACGAGCTATGGGTCTTGAGAACAGGTGCAGAGAAGCAGTGTTACCTTACTCTTGCCTTCTTTGTCAAGGAAAATGTCCTTTAAAGGGGGGACAGGAAAAGCATACCAGTGATGGATGAAATTCTTAGGTGTGTGAAGAGAGTTCAAGAAGTTCCCTAAACTAGTAAATTCTCCTAAATGAAATAGTTTTCATCAAAGATGTTCAAATGTTACACAAGTAAGACCACTAAAACCTTCCAAAGCAAAAAAAAAAAAAAGTGTAAAGAAACTGAGAAATGCTTCTGACAAATGCCATCTATATATTAAAAAGGGATTCTAAAAAAAAAAAAAAATTTAAGCCAGCCAACATTGCTTGGGGAAAAGAGACCAAGAAAGTTTATGAAAGATTTTCAGCTTCCGGAGCATTACTCAATATGATGTAGGGTGGTGAAATGGTTCTCAAAGACCCACACCAGTTGGTTAGAAAACATCATTTCATTCCATGATGGTTGTGGTGATGAATGACTTTGAACATTGACTACCCATAAGACCCTTACAATCTGTACCTTCTTAATATTATTGAGTTTGATTAAAAAGACTAGGAACAATTCCCCAAATCACACAGCTGGTTATTTCTGGCCTACGATTTGAGTCACAATCTTTAATGCCCCAAAGCTCATGCTTTCTCCTACATGTTGCAAGTCAGAAAATGGAAAGTGGGTAACTTCCATTGATGTTTTCCAGTTGAGTTAATTAGTCCCAGGATAAAACAATTACCTCTCTAACTAGAAAGAAGCTGCCAACCACAGAGTTTGCTCAGAGATTCAGGTGCAGATATATAGATTTCACTCATTAAATCTGAAGGGAATTCTGGGTTGCAGCAATGAAAAACATTGCAAAATATAATTACCCCCCCAAATATTCATAGCCTGGAATAACAGAATGAACTTAATGAGATGACATTTAATGGTCATAAAAATCAGGTTCATTATTTGGGTCCAAATAATAATGCTGTAAGTATGAATGGCATGCAAGATTTTATTGAAAGGGCACATTTAGCTTTAAAAATTGTATTTGATACTATATATGGGGCAACTCAAGTAATAGTAGCTGTGCAATTTACAACAAAAAAACTATAACTATAAACGTTTGGAATACCAAGTTCTTTATTATCAAATAGAGATAATAACTTCCAAATCAGGGCCTCCCTAGTGGCACAAGGGGTTAAGTTTCAGCACTATCAAACTACCACCAGCCACTGCACCATGAGTTTGATCCTCAGCCATAGGTCTGACCTACATGGTACAGCAGACCTCTCCTACCCCACCTATGCTCCGCTCAGCAGTGGTGTCGTAGATCTGCCAGTTCTACTCCCCACTCTGTCTCTGGTGAATCCTCTCACTGCTCCTGCACTTCTGCCCTACACTCCAGTTCTTGTCCGTATAAATAAATAAAAATAAATCTTAAAAAAAGATATAACATCGGGCCCTCCCTGGTGGTGCAATGGGTTAAAGCAGAGCACTATGAACCTTGTGGCAGCCTCTTCAGCACGAGTTCAAGCCCCGGCCCTGGAGGTGACCCACATGGTGTGGCAGACTTCTCCTGACCTGCCTGCTACTGCCTTCAGCAGTGCACTTTGTTGATCTGCCTGTTCTGCCCTTTACTCTGTCTCTGGTGAATCCTCTCACCGCCCCCCGCCCCGAACCTCTGGCCTGTGCCCCAGCTCTGTATGAATAAGCAAATAAAATACTTTTTTAAAAAAAGAAGATATAACACCTAGGGCCCTCCCTTGTGGCTCATCAGGTTAAAGTGCAGCACTATGAAGTTAGTGGAAATTGCTTCAACACAAGTTCGATCCCCCACTGGGGAGCTGACCCACATGGCACAGCAGACCTCTCCTGACTCCCCCACTGCTCTCCTCAGCAATGTACTTCTTCAATCTGCCTGTTATGCTCCCTACTCTGTCTGTGGTGAATCCTCTCACTGCTCCCTCACCTCTGTACCCCAGCTCTGTATGCATAAATAAATAAATCTAAGAAAAAAAAACTTCCAAATTAATGTTATGGATAAAGAAGATAACATCTGTTCTGACAATGACAAAAACAGGTAGATGTAGAGCTGTTCTGACTCTCAGCTCAGTGCTCTCCAGATCATTAACATCAGGCTGGAGTCACCATCACATCTCAGCTCTCTCCCTGTCACACTGCAGATTTATGCATGCCTTGTGTGTCCAAAAACACACTTTACTTCTTTACATATTATTTATATTTACATAAATTACCTATAACATTTGCTTTAAAACTCATATTCTGTGCATTTCTCTCTTACAAAGTAGCCATGGCCCAGGCAGCATTTAGAGCTAAAATGAAAGGCTTTATAATAAATATTACCCTTTGTGTGTGCATGGAAAATGGTCCCTTTCCCCAGTTTTCCCTGAGGGCACACTATTTTGGCTTTATTGTGACACTTCACTGTGACATTGCAATGAGGGAAAGCCATGCTTTACATGTCACTGAAAGAAATGCCACAAAATGCTAACATATCTTCTCAAGGTTGCCAGAAATAATTTCCACTGGGTTGTGTTTTCCCATCTGCGGAGCTCTGAAATGTTAAGGAAATAAATGAGCTCTATTATCTATATTTTTCTAGTAGATGAGAAAGAAAGGAAAAATACACTCAGCCCTGCTGAGTTCTATTCAATCAAACTGTTACTTTAAACATCTAGATTCCTCCAGGGAACTTTATCAATGCAACAAATACCTTTCAATACCATATATCATACCTGTGGTTTTGATTTTGTTAAATTATATTTAAAGTTTTGATTGTTAACAGTGAGAAGTTTTTGGCTACACATTTGAGAAATGCTTCCATTTATAATAGAAGCTCACATTCTAATTTGAAAGGGTATTTTCTTTGATTACAACATATGGCTAAAGTTTATTTCAGAAAAAGAGTGAAGAAATTAACAATTAGAGAACATTAATGAAGTATGTTTAGATCAAATTAATTGATCTTTTAGGTTTCAGAAATGAGTACCACTAAAAATAGCTAGCAATGCCCTAAATCTATACAATGAACAATGGGCTCAGAGATACTTTTCCTGCTTATTTTCCACAATAATGCATCCTCAGTGTGAGTTACCAGAAAATATTTAACAAATGTAGGTTAAGCAATATGTTCTGATCATATCCCCAAAGGAATAAAACCAAAAAATAAAAGTTCTGAATCCCTGAGTTCAAGGAAATTATTTACATGCTCCAATATTACCATAAAAATTTTATAGTATTCCTAAAATGTCTTCTAATTAGGCTCAATGCCACAGACTCATGGAAAGGCAGAAAGAATATGAATTTGACTTCATATTCAGGTCAGCAGGGAAAACAAAGGTATAACAACTGACATAAAATTGAACTATTATTTCAGAGATATGATTATGTTTGAGAAAAATTCAAAAGAAGCTACAGATAAAATGTTAACATACAGATAAGTTGACATAACTTGATAATGACATACCTGTTAAAATATTTGAAGTTCTATAATCAATACAAAATAGGAAAAGCATTACAATACATAGAAACATGAAATACTCAGAAATAAACCTA